AACCCAACACCACCCCGCACACGCCTCAAAACACTCCTCCTGCCGCTGCCACAGGCAGCAGCTCAGCCCACCCCACTGCCCGTGCCTGCTGCACTGCTACACAGATTTTCCCCGTGGAGAAAAGGGAAAGAAGCCAAAACAGGTTTTCTCCACTCTTGCCTGAAAAATGCCAGGAAACCAGCGTCGCAGGAGTGCCTGCACAGGGGCAGAAGGTCCCAAGCTGATAAGGGAAGGTGATGAATAGGTCTGGCCAACTGCAGCACTTCCTCTTTTCCTTCAACACCCTGAATCACAGCTAAGATTCCCCTCACCAAGCTCCCACAAAAACCTCTTAGTCCCTCAACAGGCAGCAAGCCTCCCATCAGCAGCACAGCCGCTGAAGTTACATCATCAAGCACAGCCCAGCTGCCCCTTAGTTTGGCAACACTCACTTGCCAAAGTGACTCACGCAGGAATATCGACCTCAAAGTGCTTAAATCCAACATGAATTCATTTTACTGGGTTTGGGATGTCAGCTATATTAGTTCCACAGCCAAGTGCCAGAGTCCATCAGCTTATCTCCACTCTAATGAGACAGCATCAGTGTTGTAACATTTCCATATGACGAGGTTTTTTCCACTTGTTGGGTTTTTTAATGAAGTGGGGAGCAAAAACAGTTAAAAAGGCAGCTATTCATTTCCATCTACTGTAATTTCTTTTACTAATTAAAAAAAAAAAAAAAAAAGAAAAAAAAACCAGAACAAATTTATCCCTTTAGTAGGATAAATTCTGAGCTATCAAAACACAGGAAGACAGCCCTTATACTAAATATAAATTATATTAAATATAAATTAAATTATAAATATTATACTAAATATAAATTAATAAATAAATGCACTGAATGTCTTGCTTCTAGTAAGCACCGAGCTAAAGGGATCGCAAAGCATTATCAGGAAGTTGAAACAACTAAACTGAAATATTCTTACACCAACGTATACATCCATGGATGTTTGCATCTCACACTCCGAGAAAAATGTAGTCAAAAGCAGAATAGCTAACTGGAAAAGATCCAGAAATTGGTGATCAGCATAAAAAGAGAAGTGTAGGGCTACAACCCGTGAAATAAAGATCTTTAGCCTACAAGGAGATGCAGCCAAAGAGTGAATACCCCGTGATTTAGCAGAACTCTAAAGTCACAAGCAGTATAGGGAAGATGAGCACCGTGATTCGCACAGCACAAGAGGCAGAAATTAACAAGTTACCTGAAGGCAGACTCGACACACCACACCCCCAAAGAAAATCAGATGTTTGTTTTGGTTCTTCACGATTTAACTACTGCGAGGAGGCACTTCCGAACATCACAGACACCAGCAGCTTACTCGGATTTCAACAGACACCGAGCAAACGCATCAAGGGCACACTCATCAGGGGTTACTAGGCAGAAAGACATTCCCTTAACTCCAGCGGTCCCGGAAACTGCTGGAAAGCAGGGGCCCGTGGGACAGGAGCGTCACCCCGCCTTGCTCCGCCAGTCCAGCCCAGGGCCGAGTGCCGGCACCTCAGAGCGGCTCTACCGAGCAGGAGCGGCGGATCCCCGACCCCGGAGAAGACGAAGGGGCGCGGCCCGTCCCCAGCTACCCCCGCCCGGTACCTGCGGCCCCCGCGGTCCCCTCCCATACCTGCGGCGCCCCAGCCTCGCTGCCCCACCCAGTACCTGCGTGCCCCCAGTCTAGCCCGGTACCTGCGGCCCCCGGCCCCGCTGTGCCGCCGTCCCGCGGTCACCGCCCGCCGTCCCTACGGGCCCCGCTCAGCGCCGCCGGAGCCGGGCGACGCCATCTTGTCTGGGCCCCGCCGGCGGGATGGCGTCACGCTGTGGCGTCACCTGCGCCCGCCGGGCCAATCGGGAGCTGCGGGTGGTGACGTCATCGCATCATGAAGGGGCGGGGCGAAGACAGAGCCACGCCTCCCTCGGGGGGCGGGGCCAGGCCAGGGAGCGTCCGTGTCCCCGTCCGTGCCCGTGTCCCCTCCGTGCCCGTGTCCCCGTTCCCGTCGCTGTCGCCTGCCTTTGCCAGCTGCTGACCCTGTCCCATCGCTGCCCCTGTTCCATCCCCTTACCAGCCGCTGTCCGTGTTGCATCCCTCACTGTGTCCTGTTCCAACGCTGTCCCAGCCCCTGTCCCTGCCCTTGCCTGTGCCATCCCCGTCCCTGTCCTGTCCCCTCCTTGCCCCTGTTGCTGCTCCTGTCCCTGTCCCTTTGCCGGCCCCCGCCCCATTCCCTGTGCCACCTCTGTCCCTGCCCTTGTCTCTGTCACTGTCCCTTTACCTGTCCCGTCGCTGCTTCTGTTCCCAGCTCCTGCCCTGCCCGGGAGCTCCTGCAGCGCCTCCCGCCCCTGTCCCAGCTGTGATCGTGCCAGGGCTCCCAAGGGGCTGGATGAAGGCGGTGAGTGGGACACAGAGAGGCCATTTCATCCCACACCTTCAGCCCCTTCCCTCCGCAACCACGACCACCTCGCCCTCCCCAGGGGCTCAGGGGACATTCCCGATGGGTTTTCAGCCTTTTGAGCCGTCCTTGTTCTGAAATTGAGGGGTTTTGTCCAAAATGGATGTGGTAGTTTTGCATGTGAGGGTGGATACGGAGAGAGGAGTTAGTCATGGTAAATCACCACCCAAAACGGCCAAACTGGAATTACTGCTTGTATCCTCAGAGGACACTGGAAAGCCTGAGCGGTTCTTTTACGGTTTCTTTTTCAGTTGGAATTCTCACAGCACCCTTGTCTGTGGGGTTGGTTGGATGAAAACAGAATAAAGGTCACAAAACCAATGTTGTATCAGGAAAATGTGTGCTGATTCCATGTGACTTGAGGCACCATCAGATATCTGGTGATCAGAAGCTGGCTTTTTCCTAAAGCCAGCCTACATGTCACATGTTTTCCTTGTTTCACTACTCAGCAATACCACTGGCAAGTAGTGACTGCTGGTTTTGGATCATATGAAGCTTTGCCTCTGAAATCACAGAAAAAGAGTGGATGAGCCATGTGGACATCAGAAAAAGCACTCATCCTTCCACACGACCTCCAAGGGGTACCATGAAATGCAAATACATACAAATGTTATCTCTTTAATTCCCCAGCAGTAAGTGATTTCCCAGGTGGAATGTGTGGGGAAGTGTGGGAAACTCAGGACTCCTGGACAACTAACAACATGATTAAGCAGAAGCTGTTTATTGTTTACATTACACACATATTTATAGATTCTACAAACTGCTGAGTACACACTGCTCGATTGGTGCCCTTGTCTTGTTCCCTTGTTTTCCGCCTGCACTCCTCAGAGCGTGCTATTGGCTACAGTCCAGGTGTTTCACAGTCCTGTTATCTAGTTCTTGCGGTCTTGGTATTTGGTTTCTCAGCCTCTTCTTTCTTACTTTAGCACAGTTTATGTTTCAGTAGCCTTGATGAATTCCTGAGGCTTTGATAACTAAATCAGAAGCAGGCTGGCTGGTGCACACCGTGGCCTAATCCTTGCAAATACATTGCAGCAGGAAAATGACTTGGGGTGAAATCAGAGAAAACCAGAGAGTTACATTCACATTCTAGCAGAATTAGTACAGGAAACAGAGGGTGAAGTGCAGTTACGACTCCCTGGGTGGGATGTGGTCAGCATGCCCAGCTTCCCACACACAATCCATGCTAAAGGGGACTGAAGGGAGGGTAGAGTGGAGACGCCAGGGCCAGGCTCTGTTGAAATCCTGGCAAGAGGGGGAACTCAGTGGTGCAGATAAACTGCATAGCAGCTGAAAAACAAGGGGAAGAAGGACATGCCTTGCTGCTGAGCCAGCTACTGAGGCAAGATCACAAATGCCCACCTCCATCCCGGAGGCTACCTCAGGTGTGACACCCACCTGCAGGGTACAACTACCCCGCACTGGACATGATGCATGACTAGAGTTACTCTAGTAAAAGCAGAGTAACTAGCACAAAAACAGTATAAAAGTAAGTCAAAATTGGGGAGAAGTTAGGGAAGGTTCCACTGTAACTTCTGGGATCGACTGACTGATTGAGGCTGAACCTGTCAGAACTGTACTCTGTGTATGGTGATTGTTTATCACAATTGCTCTCAATTTGTTTTTGCAGCCAGATCCTATCACCAGCAATCTTTGCACCTTAACCTGTCACAGTTTTCTATTACATTAATAAAATATGAATGTTCTGTAAGCTGTCCTTCAAGGTGTGAATCCTTCAAGAGCATTAACAGTGCGTAAAACTGAACACTTGAGTGTTCAGCTGTGAAGAGGGTCTCTCTAATGCTTTTGGTGTGCATTCCTGGATCTTTCCTGGGGTGCCAAGAGACCAGCTAAAGGTGTGTAGAAACCCTCAAAGGGGTTTCTGTGTTTCCATGTGACTCTGAAAAAGTCACCTCAACCACCTTCTCATCTAGCAGATTATTCAGTGAGGAGCTGGACAATAGGAAGAATTTCTTCACAGAATGGGTGATTAGACTTGGGGAATGAGCTGCTCAGGGAGGTGGAGGAGTCACCGTTCTGGAGATCTTTTAGGGAAGCCCTGGACATGGCACTCAGTGCCAGTCAGGTTGACAGGGTGGTGCTCACTCACAGGATGGACTGAGTGAGCTTACAGGCCCTTTCCAACCTAACTGATTCTCTGATTCTGTCCCCTTTGTGGGAACCCTGACGGACTGGTCGGGCACAAGTGTCTCGGCTTTCCTGGGGCGCTGACAGTCTGATCAAACACGGATGGTTTGGGGAAATCTCCGTTTCCTGGGAAGGATTCCCGAATCCCCACCTTGTACTGAGCCCGCCTCGCCGCTAGGGGACGCCACACCCCCACCACGCTGGTTCTGCTGCCATGGCAACGGCTGAGCGGGCGGGGCCAGCTTGCTATCCGGTTGCTAGGCAACGGGGTACCTGGGCGGGGTGGAACTGCCGCCGCAAAGCTGAGACTCGACTGTCGTAAAAAGACAAAAAAAACCGAAACCCCGTGGTGTTGTAAAATGCCGTGAGGCGCGGCCGGCGGGGCCTGAGGGACAGAGGCTGGGCCCGGTCCCGCTCCATATGCCCCGAACCGCCCCGTCCCGCTCCATGTGGGGCCGCTCCTCGTCCACATCGTCCTCATCCTTCTACTATGGCGCGGAAAACAGTTAGCAGGAAGCGGAAAGCGGCGGCGGCTGCCGCCGCGGGGACCGGGGGACTCCAGGGAGAGCAGGTAAGGGGTGAGGTGGGGGGTAGGGGAGAAGCGCTGGTTCCCGGTGGTGGGAAGGGAGAGAAGCGCTGGTTCCCGGGACTCGGCGGACGTGCCGATCCCCGGTAGGAAGGCGGTGGCCCTGTCCGCGGGATGGGGAAGGAAGGTGTCCGGGGGGGTTGGGGCTTCCGGGGAGGGGCTGCCACGGTCCCGGTGCCAGCCAGGGACCGGTCTCGATGTCACTTGGCGAGGGGCAGCTCCGGTGCTGGTGTCACCCCAAGCGGGGCAGCCCCAGGTGCCAGGGTCGCCAGAGAGGAGGAGCGCCTGTTCCCGGGGTCAGTCCCCGCTTTGTGCCCGCGCCCGGGCTCGCGGTGCCCCGTTGCGTTCGGCCGTTGTTCGCCGCTCGCTGCCGCGCAGCGATGATGGCTGGATGGCTCTGGCCCGGCCGGAGGAGGCCGAGCGCCGCGGTCGGTATCGGGGAGTCACCTGGGTGTCACCCCCACGCCTGCCAAGCTGAGGGCGAGGGCTGTATGCGCTGCCCCTCTCCCGTGCCAAGCGCTGCGCTTCTTCCCGTGAGCGTTCGGCGTACCAACGGTGCCGAACCGCCACGGACTGTCGTTGTATTATGGCCGAGTTACTCCTTTAGTAGATATTTATGTTTAATTTCACGCTGTTAAACGCTCTGTACGCGTTCCCATGTTAATTTCCGTGCGCGGTATTCCAAAGGCTTCAGGGTTTTGCCGGGAATAGCGTTGCATTTGAAAGGGTGGTGTCTTAAAGTTTGTTTTAGTTGCTTTATCCAGTGTCTAACTTTATTCCACAGTACGGGTGGGATCACTCTGTTCACAAAAGGAAAAGGCTCCCGCCGGTGAAAAGGTCTCTAGTGTACTACGTGAAAGGGAGAGAGGTCCGGATGCAGAATGAGTCCAGCTACCACCGCTTGTTGCATGGATACGCAGCCCAGCAGCTCCCCAGCCTCCTGCAGGAGAGGGAATTTCACCTCGGAACACTCAATAAAGTGTTTGCCTCCCAGTGGCTAAACCACCGACAAGTGGTGTGCGGGACAAAATGCAACACGGTGAGTGCCACCTCTCGCTGTTTGCCTTTCCTCTGTTAATTATTCCACCTCCACCCTCAAATGATACTTATCATAAGCAAAGTGTGTGAATGACCAGGAAAAACATTAGGAATTAGGAGTGGAGTGAAAATCGAGCCCGATTAACTTTGAATGAAAGCAGTGCTTAAGTACAATCAGAAATGCTTAAGGACCGATCTGTTCTCATCTGAATCTGTGGCACTGTGAGCCCCAGCGAGGCACCTCTGGGAGCATCTGTGTAATGTTACAGAGCGATTTACACCTGGTTTCGGGATGAAGAGCAACAGTAAGATTGGATCTTTCCTTTTGTCCTGCATATGAGAAGCTAATGGACAGATACCAGCGTCTCTAATGGTGGCTGTCAGTATTTGGCCAAACTTCCCGCTAAGGTTCCTTTTTTCTGTTACACTCAGTCTTATACAGTTTGGTTTTACATATGGTTCTGGGCTGATGGCTTTTAAAAGTTGTTCTAAAACTGTGGTTAAACTCCAGGTATTTGTCAGAGCCAGAAGTGTTCTGAGCTTAAAAAAAAAAAAAAAAGAATTTCAGATCTTCAGTGTTGCTTGTTGACTTGATAATTCTTAACGGTAAAAGTGTTTCCAGTGTTTGAATAGCTTCTCTGGTTTATCTTTACATGCTTCTACAAAAACTGAGAACTCCTTAGGTTCTTGAAGTGATGCTTTGAAACATTTCAGGGGCATATTAAAATGGTGTCCTCTGGGATTAGTAAATGGGGGAGATCATATTTCATAGGTAATATTCACCACAGTAGCCCAAGTGCATTGGCTGAGGTTGCAATTTCATGCAAGGAGTTGTGATTGAATTAGTACAGAATCCTAAACTGCAAGTTAGTTGCTGCCACAGAAGGGAATCGAGGGTGAAAAGGAATGAATGCATAGATGTAGCAGCTCCTAAATCTCAGAGTGTATCAGTTGCTGCAATTACTTCTTTGCCTCAAGATACTTCTGTGCCAAAGCCATGCTCAGTGGTCTGACCAGCAAGGGTCAGTGGGCTGGTTTTTTTCCATTTCTGATGAAACATTCTGAGATGTCCTGTTATTATTCACAGTTGCACAGGGGGAGGGTTTTATGCAGTAGCTCTTAAGAAGCAAGGCCAAACTGTATTAACAAAGCAATCTTTCAACAGCAATAAGCTCAAAATAGAATCTCTTTGCTTACTTTCTCCACATACGTTCATCTCCTCAGCCAGTCAGCAGCCAGCACTGGTTGTGGTTGTAGAGTTGCTTACAGGAGACAAACTCCTGCTGAAACACAAGCTCCCAAAAATCTTGCTTACTCTAGCGAGATGATTGTGTTTTATAGAGTGGCCACGATTCTGCTGTGTTCTGTAACTTTTGTAGCTCGGGCGCATCTGCAGTGAAGAGAAATGGGCAAGTGGGTTGTTAACGCAACCTTGCAGAAAATTGGAACCAAACAATCGTGAAGCTGAAGAGGGATTCAGTAGTATTGTTCCCTTTGCAAATGCTGCAACCAAGGGTGTTTGTCCACAGCCAGACTTAATGTTAGAGACAGACCTCCTCTGTCATTGAGCAAAATGGAGTAATTGCAAAAGAAGTCCCTGAAGCATTGTGAAAGATCCTATATGAATTATGACTGGTGTAATAGCTCTACCTTGTTTGCTTTGTGCTCACATTTGAACAAGTAAAGCATTAAATTCTACACTCTAATTAGAAGATTTTTCTCTCTCATCTCCTGAGTGAGTGACCTATTAAAGAAAAACGCCTTTGCTGACTCTCATGTGCTGAAGTTGTGGCATTCAAGTTGGGAGTTAATCGAAAATGCCTAGGTTGACTTCTGCGAGGTTTGCTGCATTGGAGTTGCATTTAATTAAAGTTAATGCAAGAGAAAAATATAAACTCTAGCAGTTATTTTAATCGGGGCTTTACTGTGGCACTGAGTGCTTTTAGCATTTCATTTATAATTTACCTTTCACTGTGCAGTGCCAGGACAATTCACTGTTCTTAATGACAAAACAAAAATATGCTCTTGTCATAGACAAGGAAGTTTGGGTTTAGTCACTTGGAAGTACTAGTTACTATAAAAATACTGAAGAGAATATGGAGTTCTCAGTCAATTACTCTTTTTTGGATGAAGATTATAATTTGTTCAATTATATGGAGTAACTTTTTATCTTTAAAACTATTCTGGGAGGTGAAATAACTTTATTCTTCTCCAGTGGATCATGGGGATCATAGTTGAGCAGCTGTAAATCAAATATTTCAGATATTTGTGTTCTATAAAGGTACATGCTTTTTCTAGTACATTTAGAAATATGGGAACTATTGCAAGCAGTCAAGTGTCTAAAATTTCAAGTGAAATCACCTAGACTTTTCACCTCGGCTTTGCAGAGCTGGGATTCCTGTTTACATGAATTTCCAAGACCTTGCACACAATGGGCGCTCCTTAATGTTTTTCTGATTCAAATGAATAAGCAACAAACTTTGGAAGGGTGAAGACATTGAGGGTGTGCTCTGATAGGTATCTAAATTGCCAAAAACTGATGCTGTGAAGATATATAGAAGAAAGAAGAATTCTGTCTCAGAAGAAGATATGGTCTGTAATCTGCAGGCTTCATAGAGAAACTCATGAGACTTAGGTAGGACCCAGGCTTATGGCAGATAAAAACATAGAACACAAGGTTCCTGTGTTTTGGGGTTTTTTTTCCCTCTTTACTATTTCAGGAAATTATGAAGAATAAAGTAGCATCTAAAAAGTAGTTTTAGTAATAATTTTTCAGCTTCTTTTACTCTGTTAGTTACATGTACATGTTCAAGATATAATCTTTTCGCTAATTGCAAAGTTAGAGATGAAAAATTGTAAGAGCTGTAAATCATTCCCTAAATACAAGAAGCTAATTATTTTCCAGTTGCTTGAGAATGTATTTGCTTGGAATCTAGTTTGGGTTTTGTTTTTTTTTTTTCACGCAAGTCCTGTAGACGTATTTGTGTTTAAAAACTTCCTTTCTGAATGCTCTGTCCTGATTTCTGAGGTAGCTTTTCCAAGGCATGCTTGGGTTGGTTTCTGAATGCTGGCTGAAACCTTTTCTCTCTTCAGCAGATTACTGTATTGGCTGCCCTGCTGTAGATCACCAGCTCTCATTTCCTATTAGAGACTTGAAACTTGTTTCAAGAGATCCTATGTCTGTTCTGTACAGCCCAGTCTTGTAGTCCTGAGATTGTGGTGAGAGTACAATGGGAAGTTCCTCCTCTGTCTATGAATGTGAACTGTCTATAAGGAAAATTATTTCCCCTTGCTTTGCTAGTTAATGTGTCTTCTGGCTTTGCATATGTGAGGAACCATCGAGATGACAGCTCATTTCTGATCACATGTAGGAAATGAGAAGTCTCCTCCAGCTTGTAGCTCTACTCAAAGTCCAGGGAACAGTGAGTGGAGCTTGCTGTAAATAAACCTCTGATGCCTGTAGTTGATATCTCCATTGACATGGCTTGTGACCAAATAGCCTGATGTTGGTTTCTTGTCTCAAGAGTATTTGCTTTTCTGTCAACTGCATGTGGTACTCATGTCTGTCTGGCAGTTTCTGTTCCAGGTGTGGTGTGAGTTGTAGGGATGCCCTTCAGCAGATGACGTCTGTCACTTCTCCATTCTTTGCCATCTGTCAGCATGTATTAACTGTCTCCCAGCCCCCTGAAATTAAACATGAAGGCCAAATGCAAATAAAAAATTATAAATGGGATTTTGGCATTGCACAGGCCAAAAGTCTGTGGCCACTAGCTGGTAGTGCTTCAGAGTTTCATAGAAAGGTGAAGTGCCTGATTTCAGGGTCTTGTCTCTGGAAATGTGAATTCAAAGTCAACCAACTTGCTGACTGCTTTTACCTCTCCTTACTTCTCAGGTGGTTTCTTTATATTGTGGATTGTTTAGCTTTGGACCCATTCAAGAAGGATGTGTAAGGCCATTACACACTTGAGTTGCCTCTACTGCATAACCTGTTAGTAAGTTTTGTGCTAAGATTAGTGCATGGTAGCATGGCTGGTGTAGTTGCCATTCCCTGTGATATTTGATAAGTCATAGCAGGTAGATGAAGTCCCAGGTGACTGGAGAAGGAAAGCCATTGTATCCATCTGGAGAAGTGGTAGAAAGAAGGACTCCAGGAACTGCTGACCTGTCAGCCTCCCCTCTGTGCCTGGGAAGATCATGGGATCTAGTTTCCTCCTAGAAACTCTGCTAAGGCACATGGAGGACAGGGAGCTGAAATGAGGCAACCGGCATGGCTTCACCAAGTTGGAGGGCTGGAGTGTCTCTTCTACAAGGAAAGGCTGAGAGAGTTGTTCAGCCTGGAGGAGAAGAGGCTCTGAGAAGACCTTATCATGTCCTTCCAGTACCCAAAGGGAAAGTATAGAAAAGATGGGGACAGATGAAATGAACAGGGCTTGTAGTGACTGGAGAAGAGGTAATGCTTTTCAATTAAAAAAGTCACACTAGATACAAGGAAGATTCTTAAGCTTTACTATCAGGGTAGTGACACACCAGTGTGGGCTGCCCACACAGCTGCTGAGTGCTCAATGCGTGGAAACATTCAAGGACAGGTTGGATAGAGTTTTGAGTAACCTGGTCTAGCTGATGTCCCTGCTTGTGCTGGGCATTTGGACAAGACAACCCTTAAGGGCTCCTTGCAACTCAAATCATTCTATGCTTCTTTATTTTGATCTTCAGCAGAAAACAAATATATGATGCCAGTTTGATAGTTTAAAGTGTCCATGTTTCTTTGGGGCTTGGTATATATTAGTAAATCTGTATTGGTACAGAAAAAAGAACCTGATGCCAAGTGTTTGTGTACAGAAAAGAAAGATATTTATGATCTGAATAAAAGTCAAGGCTGAGAACTTGGAAAAATCAGTCACTGCTACTCAGGTGTGACCAGAAATAGTATTGCTGTAATAGCACAATAAGCATTGTCTTCTTTTGTTGTTTTGTTAGCAAAAAACATATTTGAAGGAGAACAAGTAATAATTTTCCAACTTGGCTGTGAGTGAGATCTTTTTGTGACCAACCTTAGTCTGGAGTCATGCCGTTGCAGAAGTGGATGTTCCCACCTGTTTGTTTTGGCTAGCACTGATGTGCATGTGGCTAGGGAGTCATCTGGATCAGCTTGCTGCTTTGTGTGTAGACACGTTTTCTTGTAGGGTTAGTTTGACCAAAGCAGATAGAGTTGACCTTGCAGCTACTTGAGCACTAGTTATTGTCACAAGGGTGATACTGTTTAGGTGAATGGCGAGGAGGAAGCACGTAGATTCTCCAAAGATAGCTTAAGCCAGTTGTGAGACTTGAATGTGATTGAGTCTCTCTTAGTGACTGTTTTTAGCAGGGCAGTGTATTTTGTTGTGTTTCTTTCAAAAGTTACTATGAATGACAAGAATGTGTCCATGATTTCTGAGAGTACTGTGTGAAGAGCTGGTGCACAGAGCATGTTGTGAGCTCTTGCATGAAGAATGAGCAGTCTCTTTCATGCATGTTATTTGTGCCTTTTAGATCTCCATCCATCCTGCTTGTGTAATAAAAACAGGATGGCACCCTTTGTTTTTGTTTTGATTGATTTGTCCAACCAACTAAAAGATAGGGCAGGACTGCCTATTCATCTGCTGTTTTTTGTACAGGGCAGCAGCTGAAGACATGAGTCTATGCTGCCTTGAAATGGCATTCATAGACCTCTTTTTTAATCTTGGCTGTTTAAAGTGAATGCTTTCAGTTGAAGATACATGGGAAGGGAATTTATCTCTATTGGACTGTTAGCTTTCTGGGTGTTTCTTCCCCCTGAATTATTGTGTCCTGAAAGGCAGGCCAAAAAATGCAAAAAAAACTGGTAAACCATTCTGCTCTCCGTATTGCATACAAGAGTATGATGGGTTTTGCAGTTCATACTCTCATCTTTGGATACTCTGTTCCCTTCCACAGTCTTTACTTTTGTCAAGCCAATTAATGAACTTCTCTCATCAGTGAAGTGAGGTAGTTTCTTGATTAACTTGATCATAAGCAGGTTGGACAGCCAAGAGGACAGCCATATAGTAATTGCAGGAAAGCCATTTGCCAGAATTACTTCTCACCACTTCTGCAGGCCAAAAGAAAAATAAGCGTACGGCTATCAATCTCTGCAAATTTGCAAAGATCATGAAGTTTCATGGCTATGTCAGCTGTAGTACCTAACCATGCTTGTCTGCCTTGATCCGTGAGTGATAGCACTGTTGCAAGCTGTACCTGCTTTAAAAAAAGAGGGGAAGTGGATTTCTCTCTTTCATGTCATCCAGCCTGTTTCCTTGTTGGAACACAGTTGTGTGGCAGAGAGCATGGCAGCTGACTCTGCTGTGTTTCTCACAGATGAAGTGTGGTCCTTGCACTTCTGCCAGATGGCTGAAGCAATCCAGATTTGGTAAATCCTGGATGTTAAGTTGTTTGGCATAGTAAAGGCTGACATGCATGTTTTATTAGAAGGAAGAACAAAATTTTGTGCAAAGCTTAAAATCAAGAGACAAATAACACGCAATTCAGTGTTTTTTTCAGGAGGCTGGTGGAGTTTTTTTTATGTCCAGCGAAAGCATTGTGAGCTGGGTTTTAGTTTTTATATAATGAGTAGCTGGGAAAAATTTCTAATTTCTGTTTGAGATAACTAAACCATGCAGTAATTTTCTCTGTTATCAGGACTTCGTCAAGTCTTTTAATGTCTACACTGCTTTGAAGTTGTTGGCAGATGTAGTCATTTCAACAGTTGAAAATATTTTGTAATCTATTTACTCTGGTGTCTTTAAAACTCCTGAAATGGTATTGAAATTTTCTGCACTCTTAGCTGGGTTCTTCTCTTGTTTCTTTACATTTCTCCCTTTTTGGCTTTAAAAGTGTCTATCAGCTGTGGCTTATCTTGGCTTCTGTGTGCTGGATTTATAGGGATGATTTCTGGGCAGCCAGAGGTGCAGCTTTTAAGCGTGAGCTTTTGCTTCCTGCTATGCCCCAGGTGGTGTAAGAATCTCTGTGTGCAGGCAGTGGTTGCTTATTTTACTCAAGGGAGGTGATGGTTGTTTTTAAACTACTCAGTGGCCAAGTTCCTTACCAAGCAAGTGAAGAAGTTACTCTGCTTTGCTCTGACCTTTACAGCCAAAACAACATAGGCAGTCCCTTATATGTGCAAAGTTTTTAGTTTTTAGTCCAAGTAGTTTAGTGTCACCCTATGCATGGAGATGTGAGCTTTGATTTTATGTTCAGAAGGTTGGTTTATTATATTATTGTATATATTATATTAAAATACTACATTAAAACTGTACTAAAAGAATAGAGAGAAGATTTATCAGAAGGTTAGAAAGAACAAGAATAGAATGCTTAACAAAATCTTGTGATTGCTCAAAGTCTGATGCAGCTGCATCTGTGATTGGCTTTTAATTAGAAACAACTCACATCTACCAATCACAGATGCACCTGTTGCATTCCACAGCAGCAGATAGTTATGGTTTACATTTTTTTTCTTGAGGTCTTCAGCTCCTCAGGAGGGAAAAATCTTAGCAAAGAATTTTTCATAAAATATCATGGTGACAGTTTAGCGTTTAGGTAAAGGTATTTTGCATTAGAGTAAGTTTTTATTAACCAACACACGCGTATGATGAGGGTGTCAGACAGAATGCAAAGGGGTTTTAATTTCCGTCCTCCTACCCGTTGACTTGTACTTCCAAGTGTGAATCTACTACAGCTGAAGCACAATTCTTCTGAGTCCATGAACATCATTAGGTGTGGATGTGTTTTCCTAAGTAGTGCAACATTAGGACCTGCAGCTGACACCTGCAAGCTTTAATCCTAACTACTAAACTGTTAATTTTGTTTAGGGTTTTGGGTTTTTTTCAGTAGTTGAAGGAGGACTGGGGAGAGAATTGGGCGTTTCTGCTGCAAAGAAATACTGGGGTGAAGGGGGATATGCACTCACATGGGAAGGACAAGGGAGGATGAGAGGAGAGAAAATGACTGATCCTGATTCTTCAGTGCAGGTGTTAATTTTCAGGTGGTCAGGGCAGAAGGACTGCTGGGTGCATTGTGTTCTTACCAGCTGTCTCCAGCTGTCTCCAGCAGTGAAGGTTTTGTAAGTCTTGGGAAGAGTGAGGAGTGCCTCCCTCCTACTCAGCTACACCTCAGCTGTTGCCATACACCACACGTGTGTACAAAATAAAAAAGTAAGCATGAAAATGCAGTCTCTGTAGGAATCATCTTTGTTTGTGCAAGACTGCTGCCTACAATCAGTTGCAGGGTGAAGATGATGCATAATTCTAGACACAAATAGCAATGAGTGGTTTTCATCTTTTCTATGGAATGTTGTAACATACCATACTTTATCAGGTTTTGATAGGATCAAAACCTGATAGTTAATAGTCTGCTAGTTTAGTACATCAAATAATAGATGTACTGCTAAATTATCTTAATGTTATTTTTCCTATGCTTTTATTAAAGAACAGATCTACGCTCTGTAAGAGTTCACCAAAAGTAGCCTATATGTATAACTTTTCTCTAAGAACCTCTAGATTTTCTTCTGGTTTTCTAGAAATGTCTGACAAAGGATTTCAGAACAATTTTCTTGAGGTGTGTATTTTTAAAATTTCTATTGAGGGTTTTTGTTGTTACTCTTATCATCTTTGGTTCACTTCCAGAGGTTTTGAGACAACATTCTTGGTTATAGAAGGAACAGACTAAAGATGATGTAGAATTTAATTATAATCCTGGGCTATGAATTCTACATCACGTTCCTTAGTGCGAAGTCAGCTTCAGATCCTCCATTTCCTTGCTTCAGTCATGTTCCCTCACAGGGCTTTGTCTCCTCTGTTAGACCTATATGACTGTCAGTGCAGCTGCCCTCTGAGCACCATCTGTGAAATGACCCATCCCATGAGCCTCCCAAATGAAAGTGCACTTTGGCAGGCAATGTAAACCTTTGCTCTGGTTTAAACTGTAACCTCGTGGTTGTATATGTCTGAACTGATGTAACACTGAGCATAATGTCTGTTTGTAGGCTTGTTGAAGAGTTGTAAGGCTTTATAATAGAGTTTTCTGACAAGGTGTCAGTGACATATTGCTCTAATTTCTTGTCTTTTTTGTGGGATGAGGTATATAGCTAAATATCTTTCTTTCAGATGTTCACACAAGCAGTGCTGTATTTAGTTACTATTCTCTGTTTATCACTAGAAAATAAATTCCAGTTACATAAACTGTCAGTCTGCCAAAGCCAAAACTTTATGGTAAGTGTGTTATGTGGGAGGTGGGAGAATCATGCTAAGCTCCATGGGGCTTAATGGCTCCTTTGAGGTGGGTTTTTTTCCTCACTGTGGTAGGTAGAAATTGAAAAACAATATTGTTTTGTCATACTGAACATGGAAAAGAGTTTTATATTCAAGGTCTTTTTATTCAAGTGGGAAACCTCCCATGACAGATTTCTCTCCTCTCCCTTCCATTACTGTGAAAATGAAAAGGGATGATTGATAAAAACCCACTGTAGTTGTTACTTAACCTGTTTTAAGAAGGAATTTATGCATTTTTCAGCAATCCTTGAAGCATTTGTGGATTTCAACTCAAAAAGATTTCAAATAGGGAGGTTTTTTGACCATCTTGTTTTTTTATCTGTTTGATGATCTCTGACATGTCTGTTTTTTGGGTTTTTTTTTTCCCCAGTTATTTGTAGTAGATGTCCAGACTGGTCAAATTACCAAGATTCCTGTTCTGAAAGATCGTGAACCTGGCATGGTGAACCAGCAGGGATGTGGCATTCATGCCATTGAGATCAACCCCTCGAGGACCCTCCTGGCCACAGGTGGAGACAACCCCAACAGTCTTGCAATTTATCGTCTGCCTACACTTGATCCTGTCTGTGTGGGAGATGTAAGTGAGAGTATCTGGGGAAAAATTATTCTCTCACTTAAAAAGTTACTACTCTGAAGTGAGTTTGATCAGAGCAAGGTTAATATTTAGCAGTCTTGTAAGAAAGTAAAGTTCTGAAAACATTTCTGATTGAGTTGTCATTTCTGTTTGTGGTATCTTAAATATAATTGAGTACTCAAACATGTGTGGATTTTCAGGTGCTTTGGGTTAGATTTCTTCCTCACCTTCATTCAGGTCTACTTAAGCTTACTTTTCAGCCCAAAAAATGTAACAAAATCCTAAGTATTGAAGTCTAATTGTGGTGATGAGCTCTGAAACTATTTATAGTGAAAAAGCTCTTTTGAGAAATTTAAACTATGTTGCAAGTTTTTAAGATTTTCCCCTTATCCCAGTGCAGCTTCTGGATGTATTATTCCAGAGATGGAACTTGGTGTTGAAGATTAGTTTTAACTCCCTGGCTTGTGGCAGTTTGATAAAAATGGTACTGGTTTTATTTCTGAAACATCCTGAGGCCTTTTCAAAACAGCCAGTCTTCAAAGAAAACCAGGCTGGAGAATATAGTGGTGTCCTGTGAGTGTTTCTCTCTCATTTCTCCTTTTTATTCAGAACTGCATGTAGATGTTAACTGCAACAGCAGAGGTCAGGTCAGAGTTTCTGCAGCAGCACATAACCAGCTGCAGCAAGACTTGACTGAAGATTTGCACGACTTGCTCTTCATTTGTGTCACTTTTTAGCTTTTTAAGTAAAACTAGGGTCTTACGGTCCTTTTTTCCCCCCATAGGTTTCTCACACACTAAAAAAAAGAGTCTTGAAACATTAATCTGTAGGTCATGTATTGTAAACATAAGATTTTGGTTACTTTTTATAGTAGGATATGCGTTGAAAGAAAAAAACCCTAACAAATAGATACTTTACAAAAGAATGCTGCTTTCAGAATGGAAAATGTGAGAATTCTGGAAAATCTTAGAATTTAGATTACTTTTTCCTTGGTCAGAGGCCTGTTTTTCCAAAACCTGTTTTTTCTTTATTAATTGCACACTTCAAAACCAGAAAAGTAAAAATTACTGCTAGGTACTTGATCTGTTCCAGCTTGATATTGGAATCTTATCTGTATGCTTTTAATGTAGGTCTGTCCTTCTGAGCTTGTACTAAAAATCAAAGTGAAGAATACTTGTCTGCTTTGGGACTGCTCTTGAGTATAATGGCACAGAAAAATTTGTCTTTATTCTTTTAGGATGGACACAAGGACTGGATATTTTCAATTGCATGGATCAGTGATACTATGGCTGTCTCTGGTAAAGTCATATTTTTTCTCTTGAAGGTTTTTTTTTGTTTGTTTGTTTGCTTGTGTTTTAAGCTTTTCTTCTCTCTGAATGTTACAGTGATGCACAACATTTGATAGGAATTTGTTAGGAAAGCACCTGTGTCGGGGCATTTGAAACCACTTGGAACTACCTAGGCTATTTAAACACTTCCTGGACTTAGTACAGTGCTTCATTTTATTTTGTTGTTGGGCCTTAGTCTAGATTTGATTTTCCTAGTATTAGAATATTACTGTGTTTGTAGTAAGGGGATGTTTGAACACAATGAGTTACAGGAAAAGATTCCACATAAGAGGAGTAATTTCAAGTGGGGTGTTGGTTATTGGTTAATAACTTTGGAACAGTTGAGATCAATATCAGTAGAAGTTGTGAAAGGGTAGAAGTCACGTGAAAGAGTAATTAATGAGAACTCAGATTGTTTCATCAAGATCTCAGTACAGTTGTGTGTGTATATGTATATGCACATACACTATGGTAGTTAATACAGAAGGCTGGAATAGAGAAACTCAGTTAATGACTTTTTGGTGACTAGTTGGATAATCAGTGTAACTTCATAAAGAATTACTTAGGCAAAGGCAAAAATAGTAATGTCTTGTTGCATTAATTTAGCAGTTTACTGCCTTTCTGTGCTGAGAGGGTGTACTGTTCTGTACTCAGAGCTGTCAAACTGCAGGTGAGAGAAAATCATAACAGTCTTATATAAAAGTCACATATTTGAATTGGTTTAGTTTAGTAGGATTGGTTTAGTTTAGTAGGATTTTTCTTCCAAACCCAAAAAGCTAATCCTGGAATTTCATTTTTGAATTTAATATAAAACTTGATCCTGCAAGTCTCCACCCCAAATATGTACAGAAACTCCATCACATTCAAGCTAGTAAGCTTGAAGTGAACAGCACAGATGATTACAGATGTCCAGGGGAAAGCTAAGGGCTTGACAGATTGCATAGCATGTGAGATGGAACTGTGTTGACTTGGTATTTCTAAAGGTCAGGGGTGGATGTGTGAGTGGAAGTGTTCTCTGCTGCCATATTCTCTACTGTGGTGCTTTAGCAGGCAGGACGTAGGTTCTAGTCTCCACACCTCAGACACCAGGGAGAACTTATTGAAAGCAACTAGCAAGACTGGTTGCTAAACTGAATTCTTTAGAACTCGCTGGCAACCCTAATTAAGAGTGAAAAAAAACCCTAACTTCTGACATGGTTTTAATTTTACAGATTTCAATTTCATCTGTGTCTGAAAGTGTTAAGCAGAAATGCTTGAACTCTACTCCAGACATTGAGGATATAGCAAGTAGTTTTATGGCAAAAGCTTCAGATGAGATGAATAGTTCTCAGGATGGCATGAGCTCAGGGTAGCAAATGATACTCTGCTTGGCTTCAGGGCTAACCAGTTGAGCAACATACATGGACTTTTTCCCCTGCCAGGGCTATTAAAATGGACAGCTTCCTCCGAAAGTATGTCAAGATGTTTAGAAATTTTACTGCTGAGTATTCGGCCTCCATAACAAACAAGATTAGGTGCAATTAAAACCAATGGCATGTAATGGAGTGGCAGGATGTTGTGCTGCTGGATGCAAGTGCCATTAGGGTGCTCCTTTTGTATTTTTCTGTAGTAGGTGATAGTGGCAGATGCCTGAATCCATCTGTGAGGGGGCAAAGCCACCTCTGCTGTGCTGGACCACACCTATTGCAACAAGATATTTTGCTTTACTGTCTTTGCAGCTTCTGCCCTATGAGATAGCAAAGCTGATAAATTTAATAGTCTCATATAGATATATAGCTTTTCTGGCATCTTCATTATGAATTTCTTTTGACAGAATTTTTCACTTTATGTAGAGAAGAAATTGAGGTACCTGTCAAATCTGTCAGAGCTGACTTAGGTGGAAGTGAGTTACCTGAACACCAGAAGGGATGTGTATAAGGTCTTGGATTAAGTCTGTATTGATCGTTGAACGAGATGCATTCAGCTTTCTTGATCCAGTGTTCTTAATATTAGTGATTCATATCTTAGATTAATGTCTTCAAATTCAGTAGAAAAATAAAATGAGTTATTGTCTGTTTAACCTAAGTTGCATTCTTTAAGAAAGAAGTGACACAGGTTTTAGTGAAATAATTTTTCTGATAGATTTCATCCAAATTGGTACAACTGTGATTAGAAATAGATGTTTCTGTTCAGCTCACGAATTACTGTGTACTCAGCCACAGTAGCAGAAATCAAGTAAACCAAATTGGCATAAACCCAGCTGAGGTTTTTGTGGAGATATTTTATATTGGTTTAACAGACTGTTTACCAAGGCTGAGAGTGACAGGCTCAGGCTGAACCTGTGGTGTTCAGTCATTTCTGAGTTCATTCTGTATATGGGATGATGATAATTGTGGCACAGGATTGTGAGTTTTGATGCATCCTCATTAGTTTGAAAATATATGAGATGGCCTCGCTGCTTGGAAACCGTATGGACAGTTGACAGTGAGTTCCTAATATTCTGAACTTTACAGATGAGTAAAATCATCCTTTTGTTAATAATAATATATGGGCACTAACAGCATGTTCTGTTAGATTAAACTAAGAGTATCCTTTTTTTCAGACCCTGTTGATTAATCCTTTTTTTAGAAAAGAGGAGTTCTGTATATGTGGAATGGACTATTCATGTGTGGACTATTTGATCAGGTTCCCGGGATGGTTCGATGGGTCTCTGGGAAGTCACAGAGGATGTGTTATCCAAAAGTGATGCCAGGCATAATCTCTCTCAAGTTCCTGTCTATGCCCACATAACACACAGTGCTCTGAAGGATATCCCCAAGGAGAACACCAATCCTGACAATTGCAAAGTCCGAGCATTGGCTTTCAACAATAAGAACAAGGTCAGTAAGATCAGCAAAACAGTTGAGAAATCCTAAAATTGTCCATGTGTATTGGAAAAACTAAAAAGTAAGCTAAATAGAATATACCAGAGAAGCAAGTTAATATGTTTTTCTCTGATTATTTTGCATCCTTGTCTTTTGAGGCAGTGGTTTTAATCTGTAATGTCTGCTTCTGCCTCAAGTGAATGAAGGAGTCCAGAAGGAAAAAAAAAAAAAAACAACCCCAGACCTTTTAGAAGGCACAATTTTCCTGTGGGTTTGATTTTAGATTTGCCTCCTAAGCAGGGGAGTAAAGACATATTTACAAGAAGCCGATAAAGCACCAAAACATCTCTTGCAGCTTTAATCCCATTCTTTAGTGCTCTTTCTGCTTTCCTTCATGTTCTGTGAAGACCAGCTAACATTTAACAGTTCCTGTTTCAATGGCTGAATCCTTTCAGGATTGCTGAGCAAATGAGGTGACTGACTTGCAGGGCAGGTACTAGCACTTGCTTTGGGGTTATTTTGTTGGTATTTGACAAACAGTAAATGTCAATCTCCCCCATCCAGATCTCCTGTTGTTACTAGTGAGTGTAGCAATTCATCCTTCACCACATTTTCTTTTCCCCCCTGCCCTCAAAGAACAGAAGTGGTCTGAAGCAAAGGTGGGTTTGCTGTCAGAAGCACAGTGATCCTGTAGGCTTTATTTTTCACAATAACTGTTAGTTACTCCTCCATGATGGAAGCTTCATGTAACTTTTTCAGTAGAGTAGTGCCTGAAACTTGCTTCAGGGTTAGAATCAGTGTGGGACCTGCTAAAGGGAATTGTCAACTCTAGACTGTACTGTCTCATAATTCATTATTTGATTCCCTAGCAAGATTTATGGTTTTGAAAGTTATTGTTATTTACTCTTTTGTTAATTTAGATTCTATTTGACACCTGAAGTGCTGTATAGCAATCTGAGAAGATCAGTATAAAATGAAAACTATCTTGATAGAGTCTTTACAAGATTATGGATGAGTTCAATCCAGACTGTGCAGCCTGCCTAGAATAGTGTGTTTGTAAGGATATCTATAATACAGTAACTAACTCTCTTCTTATTTTGCTTCTAATAGGAGTTGGGAGCTGTGTCCCTGGATGGGTATTTTCATCTTTGGAAAGCGGAGCATACACTGTCAAAGGTGCTTTTCTGTTTGTTGGAGTTAAACTTCAAAAATTGCAAGCAGTTAAGGCTGTTCACTATTCTTCATTTCCTTCAAATATTCGAAGAGCAGCAGTGTTTATAAAACACTTTAAAATTCTATGTAAAATGAAATGTCCTGAAATTTGGAGCTTGAAGAGGAGAAAAGCTCCGCACTCCCCTTAACTGAGAGGATAGGAAGCATTCTTAACTTTCTGCTAGTTTTGGGTTAGCTGAAGTGAACTATTCCATGGAGTATGGTGGATACTTAATCAGTAGAATTCATAAAGGAGTTGCACTTATGTAAGTGTAATGGCACATCATATGCAGTGAATGTGATAGGCTTTTCCAGCTGAGAGCTGATGTTGCTGTGCACCTGCTAAAAAATAGCAGCAGCTTAGAAGGATCTAAAACAATTTCTTAAAATGTCAATTTTTCTTGGCTTCAGCTTTTATTGTCTCCGTTTGCTTCAGATAAGACACCCCATTGCTTTTTTCTTTCTGGTCTTATTTTTCACCTGCATTATGTGTTTTATTTCCCTGCAACTTCCTAGAACATAGCTTACAAAATTGTTTTGTTAACACCTTCATCTTTTCTTGTAACAGATTGATTTTTATTTTTTCTCTTTCCAGTTACTTTCCACAAAGTTGCCATACTGCAGAGAGAACGTGTGTTTGGCTTATGGTCAAGAGTGGTCAGTGTATGCAGTAGGATCACAGGCACATGTCTCTTTTCTGGATCCAAGGCAGCCTTCCCACAATGTTAAATCTGTCTGTTCCAAAGAACGAGGCAGTGGTAAGAAACCTGTGAAAGGTGCTTCAAATGGTTTGCTTGCAGAAGTAGCTGTGAAAACTGTAGTAAGTCAAGCTTCTAATGAACAGGAAGGGCTTTTCTAGTGATTGGCTAAATAATTAGCAGTATATGTGTAGATTTGGGTTTGTAACCAGTATACCTGGAGCAACCAACAAACCAAATGTGACCAGCTCTGAAATCTAATGAAGGGCAACATGACTGCCATTAGGAGCAACACAATTGTAAACCATCCAAATATTACTGAACTTTCAAAAGTGTGCATTTTTACTGCTGTGTATTTTTTACTGGGTCTTATTCTATTTTTTATCATCTCAAAGCAAATGTAGTCTTTTTACTGCTATTCATACTGTTCTTGCATTCTTCTCTGTGAATTAGAAAGAAGGCATGTTGTCTGCTCTGTGCTACCTTATATTTGAGTATGTGCTGTGAGGGAAAGCTTGCTTTGTAATTTTAAAGCCATGACCGAGACTCCTGATTTTCTATATGATTTGAATGCTATTTTCTTCTCATGGATGCAGTATGTCCAGTTGAACCTTATACCAGGGCCAGGCTTGCAGGGTGCATGGTCCCATAAAGTTCTCTCCATATTCTTTACTGTCAGGTATGAGAAGGCACAGTGAGTGTCATATTAATGCCAGACTAGTAAATTGCAGTCCTTACTTAGCTTGTCTCTGGGCTTCCATCTCTTCATCAGGCAGGTTGCCAGAGGAGGACATATGTCGGCAAAGATAGGAATGTTTTATTTATGCAGTTACTGAGACGTGGTGTCTAGATCAGTGTCAGGGTCTGCTGCTTTCAGTTATGGGAGAAATATGTGTAATGTCAGGAGAAGTCACCTGAACGTCTTACCAGCAAGACCATTTGTCCTCACTCGCTGTTAGTGAGGATTCTGTCAAGGTCCTGATCCAGACACTGCAGTGTGGTCCCTGTGGTGGCTGAAACCTGCCTCAAGTATGTGTGATCTTCCATATTGGGTGATAATGTGTGTAGGGAGTAGTTCGAGGGGTTTCTCTGGTTCATGTCTGGAGGAAGCCTTTGTTCAGGGCTGTTTTCTCCTGTGCAGAGTAGGTAGTGCTGGTGTGGTGGTAGAGGCACATAAATAACAGTAATTTGCAAGATACTGAGTGTTTCCATTTTATATTGATCTCCATGGGGCTTGAAGTGGTGTAGCACCTCTAGAAAACAGGGTCTTTATTGATCTGTGGACTAAAATCGGATTTCAAGTGCTTTGCAGTGGTACCTGAATGTGCTTTAAGTTTCCAAGCGCACCTGCTGAATGTAACGTGGTAAGTCCACGTTAACTTCAGTTGACTGAAGTTGTACACAAAAGCAGGTCACAGAAAGGTGGTGGCTCAGTAAGGCTGTAGCTGGGGATGACTTTCCTCTGCTGCAGCCCTGTTTACACTTGAAGACAGTGAATGCTTTTTAGCACATCTTGTAAGTGTTGCTTTTTGTAGCAGTTGTAAAGGGAAATGCAAACATTGGATACTAGTTCTTGATCCACAGCAGCAACTGCTCTCTGCATGACTGGCCTGCAGAGCCATGTTGTGTGCCCTTCTCTTCATGTCCTGAAGGCAGCAGACAGAGCTTGTATGGCATAGACTCTGTGACTTTTGTGTAGGACATGCCACTACATCTTTATTTCCTTCTGGGATCTGTAGACCGTTCCTGCAGCATGGGAGTGAGGCTCAATATACTTACCTAAATTACCTAGCTCCACAGGTGGTAGAGAGCTGGAAGTATAGAACTTACTGTGGTAGGTTCTAGGCACAGGCTGTACTTGTAGCTTGATGGGAATGATTAATCTGAGGTACTTCAGCCTCTTAGGAGACAATTTGAAATGCTGTTTTTGAAAGCCTGTTCTAAATATCGTTCTTAGTAGTGGGTACATAATGGATTTCTTCAGTAAATTTCTTTGGTTAGAGAAAGATCCACAGTTATTCTGCATTTTATAGCTTTTTTATTAATACATTTAATTGAAAAGTAAATGCTGTCTGCCTTAATACTCCATCACCATACATCACACTGTGTGAAGTTAGTGTTCTCCTGGGTGGCTTGTCAAGAGCACTTCTTGGAGCAAAAATAAGAGAAAATCCACTCTTGTGCCTTTCCCCTCTTATCCAAGTGACTGCTCTTGCTGACTGCAGAGGGCTTAAAGCTTTCTGTGTGTCTTTGCAAGAGCTAGATCTGTGTGATAGAGGTGAGGATCTTCTGCTGTCTTAAGTGCATTTGTAGCTCTCTGAATTAAAGCGGAGACTTTCATATGAATCTCATCATCTACTTCACTAGAGAGACAGTGGTTTCCCCACCCTTTAAGCCCACAGCCAAGACTTCACCCCATATCTGGAGCAGGACAATGAGGCCTTGCCTTGTTCTAAGTGTGTATCACGAATGCTGGTCTGTGGATGTCACATCCGGTGGCAGAGGTAGAAGGATGAGGATTTTTTGTTAGGACTTTATACATAGGGGAAGGGGAAACTCCCTGATTGCATCCACAGCTCCCATTTGTCTGCTGTCACGTGTGCTCCGGGGAATATTCCAAGATGATACATGTTCTGTGACATTCAGCCCTGCTTGGTGTGGTGACAATACTTGACATGTGAATGTAGGTGACATAACTACATATTTCCTCTCCTGTTTGAATGCTTGTTTAGGCTGTAATTCAGTGGTACTCTAAAGAGGGCCTGAAAAGCCTTGGGGTTTATAACCTGGCATCCTGTCAAGAAGGAAGGAGAAGTATAGATGTAGTGGCGTTTAACCTGCGTGGAAGAGTTGTTTGGAGTAGAATGGCTACACAGAACAGTATTTGCACAATAAATGGAGATGAGATGACAGGATGTTTTGCAGATTGCAAATTCTTACATTCAGAATCTCCCCAAGACTTGTTCCAAGGGATCCTTGCTTAGCTGAGACTTCAAATTTAGATTCTGTGAGAACAAAATTTACATTCTTGTTCAGTGTAATGGAATAACTGAATTGTGATAACATGTCTAGTTTGAACTGTACCTTCCCATGTACTGGTGGAACATGGTGTTTAGATGGCAGGAATCCTGTTCTGTTTTCTTTCCTGGCTAAAGTGCTAAAAATGCCAGCTACTGAAAATCAGGTGTGCTTGTTTGAGAATATTTGAGTGGAGACAGATCAAGCGCATTAATAGTTCTGAAGCTATCTTAGCAGCAAAGTGATTGGTGATTATTATGATTACACTGGTTTATAGCTAGCCTGTTGATCAGCACAATGCACTCGGTGGCAGCTGGGACTTTCTTTTCTCAGATGGTTATTTACTGCAGGTTGGCAGGTAGTTAGGGTGTGAACTCCTGGAGGAAAACAGCATGATGTTGTTCCTTCTGTCAGCTGCCATGTACTCGCTCTTGGTGTGTTCATTTAAAGGCTTGTGCAGACTGAGGTACTCTGGACCCTAATTGGCTTATCTGGCAGACCTGAGGGCTGGTGAGGAGGAAGCTTCTTACTATGTACCATTGGTGTAGCTGATGGTCTCAAGGAGTAGGGCAGTCATGTATGCAATCAAAGCTGCTGTTTCAATAGCAGTGGAATTTGTCTGCACTGCTCTGTAGCAGTGGGAAAATTTGTGTGTTTTGGAGAATACTAGTAGGTAATATTAAACATGAAGCAGCTACACTGCAGAGGCAAAGCATCCCTGTTCCTTACTGCACTGTCCCTCTCTTCTCTGACAGGTATCCGCTCGGTGAGCTTCTACGAGCACATCATCACTGTGGGGACAGGGCAGGGGTCCTTGTTGTTTTATGATATCAGAGCTCAGAGGTTCCTGGAAGAAAAGCCCCCCCGTTCCTGCTATGGACAGAAGCAGAAATTAGGAGGAAGTGAAATTTTGAAATTGACAACTGGGAAAGGCTGGCTGGTAAGTAGTTTGTAGCTGTGATAGAGGTGGGGGGAAGTAGACCCATTATATAGGAGTGGTGTAGAGGTTGAGCCAATTCTCTTTGAGCCCATTGTGTGAAATGTGTCTCAGTCAAACAGTATTCATGTAACCAATATCTAATAATGAAGAGCAAGAAGTGCTACAGAATTGCTTTCTACAAAAGCCTTATGAAAGGGTACTGAAGGTTATTTGCTTGAGTGTAAGGCATAGTGATTACAGTTCTTATGCACTGATTCATAAATGAACTAGATTTTATATATTTGTATTTTCAAGTGTAATCTAACTTGTAGCTTTCAGAACCTCAAACAGAGAATAAATTGTCTTTCTTTAAAGCCATGGTAGTCTAATGTGGTACTTGAAGCAAGAGAATTTTAATTTAATTGTGTGCAGTTTTAGTACTTGTGGCTTCCTGAGGTAATGCCAAGGCAGGCACTTGAGTTTGATTTCCTATATGTTATCATAAAGCAGTTAATGGCTTTGTTTAACTTAGCTCTGTTACCTTTTGTTGTATCAGTGCAACATCCCCTCACCTCCCCGTTCCAGTGCTTGACCTAAATGTTCTCAGAAGAAGGTTTAGGACAACTCAGGTGTCTTTTAGTTGACTTTTATGAAGCTTCAGGATTGTTAAGAGAAAATACCCCTTTTTAGGCTCTGGAAGCTACCTAATGCTTTTGTGAAACAGGGTTTTGAGTTTGTTTGGCAACAATAACGATCTAAATTTTCCTTTAACAGAACCATGATGAAACCTGGAGGAATTATTTTTCTGACATAAATTACTTCCCAAATGCTGTTTACACCCACTGCTACGACTCGTCTGGAACGAAACTGTTCGTGGCAGGAGGCCCTCTTCCATCAGGACTTCATGGGAATTATGCTGGTCTCTGGAGCTAATGATAACTCTTCATTCTGATGCTGATCTTTACACGGATTTCCACTTTCCTTTTCATTTTTTTAACAACAAAATTGTGTGATGCCATTGATTCTGATTTAAACGCAAGTTATTTTTTTGGCAGAGTTTTCTGTTGGTCTCCAACAGTTTTGTACATCTTTTTGAACTAGTTTTTTGTTTTAACCTCCTTGATCCTTTATATGGAGGGGTTTTGAAGTCCTTTTTTATTGTATTTACTCCAAATGACTCTTCCCCCCATTTAGACTGGCTTGGCCATGCGTCCCCTCCTCTACTTTGCTGTGAGGTAGGATTTCTTTCATATAGAGTGGTTGCTCCTGAGCTTTCTGTGAAAGTCTTGGGGCTGCATGTATGCAGGTACTTTGTGTCAGTTACATTACCTGGAGTGAGGACTACTTGTAATTAAAGACTATGAAAAATATTTATAAGAGATAAGCTACTACTTTATCTGGAGAGCCTGGCCCTGGCCTGGGTTGATCATATTTTTTAAAAGTACAAGTCTAATGACACTGTTTTTACATAGAGGGATATGGTAATTTTAAGTTGTACTCACTGGAGCCCAGGGATGGATTCCTTAGTGACATTGCCCATCAATTCCAAACTGAGGAGGTTTTAAAAGTGCATTTATGTTCAAATGGTAGTTTTCAGCAGTGCTAGGAGCAAAAGTTGGTCTGTTTCTTCACTGCCTGTCCCAGGTATCAGGTTGCACAACTGGAGTTCATATAGGCTGTTCTGCAGGGTGACATTACACTGAGGGCTGCAGAAATGCTGAGAGGAAATGGGGGCTAGTTGTTCAAAATGAACTAAATCTATCTGTTCTCCAGATGAAATATGGTTTCTAAGTATGCTGTTAGGGTAGCTTATAAACTCTTCGTAAACTGCCTAAAACCTTGGACCTTTTTTTATCCCAGGTTGTGGAAATTTTTCCCCTTTTTGCTGTTCTGGTTGGCCATCTGCTCAAAGAATCCAATGGAATAAATAAACTAATTTTTTTTCACCCACATTGAAGAGTGCATCTCAGACATTACTAATGCAAGTGAGCAGCTTTCCACAAAGGAGAGTATCTTGGTGTTCCCTCACTTTGTGCTAGCCTATGCTGTGGGAGAGGCTCAGGCTTTTCCAGAATCCCCTGCAGCCTTCTGCATTTAGACTCCCTCCAACTTCACCTGGGACTGGGAGGGGAGAACCGGTCCAGTGCCCTTCAGGTCCATCTGTGAAGTGTTTGCCTCCCAGGGTGATGGTCTTACCCAATACTCAGCTAAAATGCAAGACTCCAAAATGTTCCTCCTTTTAGCAGGCACCAAACTCTCAGCTTTTTAGTGATGCCTCTGTCCTCTTCTGGAATTAATGCCTTTCCCCTGACATTGGTGGAGCAAAGTGTGCCTGTGCCTCACAGCTTTGGTGCCAAATGGGCGTTGATTGAAACTGAGAGGAAAGATAAGGCTGGGACATGCTCTGTTCTTCCATCTCGGTGAGAGATCGTAGCTACCACTGCAGTTCCTGCCCACAGCCCAGAGCTAATCTGCATTTCTCTTTACAGTCTCTCTCATCTTCATACTCAGCATCTTCTTCAGTAACACCAAGCAGTCAAGCATCAGGCTTAAGTTCCGGCTGGTATGGAGACCTGGATGGAAATCCTACAAGGAGTGCAGGTCCCTCTCATTGGGGTGGAAATCCTGGCAAGAGAACTCTCTCCCAGGTGTGCACCTATCCCAGAAGTATAATTAGCACTGAGCATTAACACAGGTGCTTCATAAACAGATCTTACAGTGTTTCATAATACTTACCATTGTGGCCTGGTTGCATAAACTGCATCAGTTCAAAGTACTGTGTGTATGGTTAGAAAGGCTTTTCTCTGAAAAGGTGAAATTATATACTATGGGGTAGCTGCTTTAGTTATTTTAGGGGCTTAGAAAAGTGGAAGTATATGAAGAAAAACAAGTCTTGGAGAAGAATGGCAGGATTTGTATCCTTACAGCTACTTGGTAAGATCATTCTGTCACAGGGAACATGTTCTGCTTTGGTTTGTTTGTTTGTTTTTTAAATTCAGTTTGGTTTGAAGTTTTTTGCTTTGTTTTTTTAAAGGAGCTAGACACTTGAGTCTACCTGAGTGTCCTCCAGTTTGGCTGAAGCAACAGGTAATAGCTGGGCATTTAGTGTCAGCAGTGCCAAAGGGAGGCTGCTGGTCTGGAGATTCTAGCCCTGATGTTGATCTATTAAGTGAAGCATATTTTAGGCCATGATAGGAGGAAAAAGAGTATGTGTATGGCCTTCAAACACAAAGGCTGATTTTTCTGCAGTCTCTAGATTACTGAAGAGGCACCACTGGAAACTGTCCCTCCCTACTGACTGTGATTTCCACAAGTACCTCAATATGTGCTCCTAAAGCCTGGTAATGTGAGTGCCCTTTTCCTCCTTTTTTTTTCTTCATTGAAGCTCTGCACAATTCTCAGATGAATCTGGATAATGATGTAAAATGTCTCCAGTCTCACATGCTTTTGTGTATTTTGCTTTCAGGGTGCTTTCTTGCAAAAATGACTTCTCACAGTAAGGAAGTTGTCTTGTTGCTGTATGAAAATCCCCACAAAAAAACTAGGAACCAAACCAGATAGTGCTGCAAGCACATGAACAATTTGGACCAGAGATAACTTATTTTTCAGCTGGTTTCAGTGGTTGTAAATGCTTACAGCGATATAGAAGTTAAGTTTCAGAATATTTCTGTGTTTGGTCATACATAACTTTTGTTCCAATCCCTGTTAGAAACTGAGGCATAGAAGGGTGATGATGATATGCCAGTTGTCCAAGATAAGTAATGGGAGAAAAACCAAATTTTTTTACTTTGATTTTGTTGCCCTGTTGGATTAGATATCTACTGTTCATGGTTAGAAATGAGTGGGTTTCCCATCCAAACGCAGGAATGGCTGCAGAACAGGGAGCCTTCAGGCTCTGCAGAGAGGCAGGTTGGGTACCTCACTGTTCTAAAGCCAGATACACCCCTGCAATGAAGTGAGCTCATTCTCAGTGACTGCACTTCAGTAGCTTCTTGAACAGCTGCTGAGACCCAATGGCATATATATATAATCAGACCATCTTATCTTTTCCACTGTTTCTTCAAGATTTCCCTCTTTCCTGCTGGAATGGTTTGTTTGAGGTTGCGTCCTTCAACCCAAATCATACCAGTCTTTGCTGTAGCAATATTGTCCTTGCAGAGGTGACGTCTGCTGTGCAGGAACAGGCTTGCTGGGATTTTGTCAATCTGTGCTCAAGACCTTCAATTTGCTTTAGTTTAACTGGGTAGAAGTTGAAGGTTGGCTCAGACTGTTGAACAGGGCAGTAGCCCTTGTACATGTTGGACTGATATGATTACACAGTAGTAGTCTGTTTCACATGGGCAACATACTCTGGTTTATCTCACTTAAATGAGAGACCTTTTAGCATAACATGCCTTCAGACTGATTGCTATTGACTTCTCAGTCATGTGGGATCTTCTGTGCTACCAGTGAGTTTAGGAGACTGCCATGTTAATTTAGGTATTTTTGGGTATTACATTTTCAGTATTCAGGATAGGTAATCAAACTAGTGACTCAGTTATGGGTTTGGTAATACCTAGCTTGTAAATACTGAGTAGCAACTCCTCAGTAACAGCTGGATGTTACCTCATGGAACATTACTGAGGAATCAGAAGCTACTTTGCAATGTTGGCTTCAGCACAGTAACAAGGGTTGTGCTCACCCTCTTCACTAAACACCTTATTCCTGTAATTTCTCCAGGTTTCTCCTTTGTACAGTCAAGTCTTGTAGGGAGAATTGCTAGTGCTCTCCTCTGGTGCTTTCTGGGATTGCAGTAAAGAAGTGAGTCCATTTGTTTGATTCCCTCATCAGTGCTGCTGGTGTTAGTTCGAGGTGAGTAAATGACCAAAGAATAGTTGGTAGTAGGTTTATATTCCTAGTCTCAGTTGTTCATTCTCCTCACAGATGCATTTTTAAGATCATTGCAAGAGTGCACAGTGATTTTGCTGGACTTAGTCTGTTCACAAAAGTTACATTCATATTGTGGGTGACTCTTGTGACTGTCTTCATGAGAGAAACTTCTGAATTGCATTAAGGGGTTTATATTTGCTGCCTCCATTTTAGGTCTTTGGCAGCTTTTTGTATCTAAAGGATTAAGATACTTGGGGATCATTCTCTTCCAGAATTTCATCCTGTTCCTTCACCTGAGCACTTGCTTTGTCTATAGCTTACAGCTGAAAAATTAACAGATTAAATTTATGATCCAGCTATGTCGAGTGGTGCTTTGGTGTCTTAATTTTGCCACTCAGCTGAGAGGCGTTTACAGGCCTTTTGAACTGCTGTGCCCTCACCTGGTGCAGGCATGAAACAAAGCAGGCTTGCCTAGACCCTTCACAAGTTCACTTGTTTGCTTTGTTTGCAAGAAACCAAGGATAGGTGGGCTGTCAGTTACTGCATGTGGGAAAGCAGCAGCATCTTTCAGCAGCCAGGTGGGAGGTCTGTTTTTAGTGGTCTGTTGCCCTTATTTTCAATAAATGCACTTTTCCAAGGTGTTTGAGATCTTCTCACTTAGCTACTTTTGTAATTGCTGCTATGACTGAATTACTGGACTGGAGTATAGCTTATTCCTAAGGAACTCTGTTGCAGAGCTGTGTATCATGCAAGTAGAGTTGATCCTTTGGCCAGCCCATGCTGAGCCAGGAACTCTTGAGCTACCAGACACAAGTTTTTTATCTGAAAGCCAAGTGAAAATCCCTGTATACCATGCTGGCCACCCCACAGTCTGAGTCTCAACTTAAAATGCATTTCTGAGTGTTATGGTGCCCTCAGTAACTTATTTGAAATTCTGAAGCAGACAACCCTGGACAAGGGAGAGTGGAAGAGAAAACACAACCACATCTTTTATGAGGTGCTCTCCTTTGTACATGAGCACTTTGTGTGGTGAGGATGGGCAACGAACACCAGAAAAAGAGTAAAAGGCAAACAGTGTTTGGTATGGCTCTTGGGACTTCTGAAGAATTAGAAAACTAGAGGGGATATGTAAATGCTTAATCAGAAACACCTTTGAGAGATCAAGTATATATTCCTGACATTTCTGTGTTATTTTAGCAACTCTGTTTTTATTATAATAACTGTGTGTTACTTTCTAAGGATAAAATTAGGAAGTATCTTTTTGCTTGTGATGTTGGGTTTTTTAATGAAAACCATGTGGTACTTGGCTGGTTAAAAGAATGCTCTTGCAGAAAGGAATCTTCCCATTTTCTAACAGCCTTTCCCACTAATACCCTGCTGGGAGCAGTATGGTCTAAGAAAGTGCACTCAGATTTAAAATTGAGTTGGCAGAGTTGGGAAAAATGTGGGCTGTCTGACTGTTTCTATACCCAAAAAACCACCAACACTTGATTGTATACACATTGTGGTTGCTGTACTGAAACTGAGAGGGTGTACGAAACCTCTTGCAACATACTGCAATGTCTTTAGTCCAAGATTCTTTTGAATTGATTCTTTTGCCTTCAGGACAAAAAATTTAGGAGTCAATACAATGTTTTCTTAGGAACTGCTTTTCTAAATTCCCTTACTAAAAGGGAAAATTCAGGTGCTGAATCTTACAATCTCCTTAAACTTGTACTTTTTATTTGCCCATTCACCTGGTCTCTTTTAATTTTCAAGGCCTCCCACAGTCTCAGGGTATAAATCACTATGACTCATCCAAATAGTACCGAAACGGACCAACCAGAGGTTAATGTGCCTTCCTCTTCTGGTACTTTGATCTTTATAAAGTTATCTCAAACTTGTCACTGTCTTAGGGCTGCGTACATGCATTGTCTTTTTCTAAGATGTATGTGTTGAAATTGCAACAGGTTTGTACTGTTACTTGTAACTTGTTCCATTTGTGTTAGGATGTGGTGTAGACAAATCAATGTGCTGGTTGGTCTTGGTATCAGTCTTGCCAGTGACACCTGTCAGTCCTTGCTTGTATGTTCATGTGTAGACAAATGCTGGATCTTCCCCACTGCCTGTGGTGCATAAGATGCACAAAATATACAAGGTGTTTTAAAATGTGCAGTCATCATAACTTGTTGCCTGAAGGTAGGATGTCCTACAGTGAACTGTTATTAATGTTTTTTCCCCAAATATTTTTACTAAGATCCAAAGCCTTGAGGAAAAAAAAAAAAAAAATCAGGACTTGCTGATACTTGATGGTTTTTGTTCTGAATCCAGGGTCTGATGTTTGTTAAAAACTCCTCCAAATCCACTCATCTAACAGGCTTTCTCAGCTTGTTTCTGTCATGAGGTGTATCAGAAACAGCACTGAATCCTGAACTATCACAGAAGCTGTCAAGCAAAGTAGTAACAGCTCTCTTCAAATATTACAGTGCACATTTTTTAACTGTAGGATAAACCTGTTCCAAGTTATTGATAGAGCTTGCAAATAGAACAGTGCAAAATTGCAGTACGTGAAACCAGCCTATCTGCACGTGGGTCTCAGTGTTCTGTTACCTTGCAAATTGTTTCTCCTCTCTGAAAAGGTGTTTTTGGTTTTTGTTTTTTTTCAACACAAAGACATTACATTTGGCTTAGTTTCTAAAGATATATTTGTTTACAAACCTCAAAATTACATCTGACATTTGGCCTGAGTTTCTAACTCTTATGCATTTAGAAAGTATAGTACAATTGATACATTATGTCTCATAAGAACATGGAAAGAGGAACATATGTATCTTCACTTGCTGTGGCCTTCCATGGACGTGCCTATGCATAATTAACTGAATTACAGTACTGGACTCTGTTGATCCATGAGGTTACCTTTTTATTGAGAATCAGCACAATTAGTCATCAGTGTATTGACATTAATACATGGTCATGGAGCTCTAAGGTCTATGTGTTTTCTGTGCTAACAGTATCTGTTCTCTCTGCACAGACTTACTGTGGAGTTCTTTTTGCTTCATGTTAATTTCAGAGTTCCTTTAAATTCAGTGAGGTGCTGTTTTTAGGACAGTCACTTTTCTGAGTAGAACAAATGGATTTAACTTAGTTTTCTACCTTTAGCATCTTCCTCTTCTCCCATTTCTTCCTAGTTCACCTATAATGATGAGTTCAAAGCTGTCTGCCTACTCTGAAAATTATCGAATCATGAAAAGAAAACCTGTAGCCCAGTGTGGCAAGATCACTCTGTGCTTTTACCATAAACCTCTGTGACTGGATGCCTCTCTTGCAAGTGGAGACTCCACCCCTGCACAGTCTGAAGAAGCTGAAAGCTTCTTGCACCCATATTGTTCAGTAGGTGTCAGCAGATCAAGAAGTGGAAGTGCCCTGTGCCTTCACCCAGTGTGTTTGTCGAACTCATCTGTAGTGGTTTAGCCAGAGAACTGGCATCTTCAATTGCTACTCAGAGTCTTGACTAAAGGTTTCATTCAGGGCAATAGCAGCAGGGTGACTTGATTCCATTCTCTTCCTCCAGAGATTTATTTTTTGGGGGGGTGGAATTATAGAAGAGTAGGGATATGAGCAAAACAATAACCGTGTTCTCAAAAGAGAAAAGTTATTCTAATGTACTTTGGCCAGCAAGAATGACAAAGAGGTGAGCTGGCAATGGAATGTTTGAAGGGTAGGCTTTGAGGGTTTGTGCCATCATGCCTTAGATCACTGCAAATTAGTTGCTCCCAGAGCTTTCAAAACGGTCAGTCCCTCTTCAGATGAGGTGTGAAGATGGCATGCGGAAAAACCAGTTTCCCCAGTGGTCACTCAGTCTTCCCCTCAACATTCAAGGTTACCAGTGCACTTGTCTCTGTTTTCATGAGTGACTGACTAATGTGCTTCACGGCTGCCACCAGCCCCCTCCACCTGCTTTGTGCAGGGATGATGGAGTGAAAAGGCCTTGTCTGCCTTGTCCTCCACTTGGCTGGCTGTTGACAGTGCAGGGATGTAACAGGCCAGTTGTGATTTACAGCTTCAGCTGGTTGCTCTGGGCTTCTCTCACACTGGAGGTGTGGTAGTGGGGCTGTTAGAGAAAGAACTGGTTAAGTAACTTCTGTTGGGCTTTTGTCCCTCTTGTTCAAATTGCTGTCTCCGGTCTCAGTCTCTTGTCCCACCCTCACTCACATCTTGTCACACTGCTGCTTGGGACTTGAGCAAGTTCCCTGTTCTCTCATGGTGTACTAGATCAGGTACCAAGTTCTGCAAAGCCTGGGGGTACCTGTTAGACCCCTACTACACTTTGAAACTTCTACTGCCTTAGGCAGTGGTTTGCTGAACTAGGACCTTGCTCACAGTATCCTTATTCGTTTTACTCAGCTCTAGGTATCTTCCTGGACTGCCATATCCCTTTCAGTCCAAAAAGGTTTGCTTCAAAGTCACTCCTGTTCCATGGAGTTGATTCCCATACTACTGGTTATTGCAATTCAGTGGCTTTTCTTTTTCTTGTTTTTATTTTGGGGTTCACTGCAAATGTACAAAACCATACTGACTTTCTCAACTCCTGAACATAGTACAGGGGCCTGTCCTGAGGCATCAGAATTATTTGTCTACTCTCAAGGTGCACAGAAGCAAGGATCTCTTAGACAGACAAAAAAGAAACCAGCTGCATATACACAAGTAGAAAGGTATCTCTGAGTAGAATAGGTGAGGGAGCAGCTTCTGAATTTTAAGTATAAAAACAGTAATTGGGGATTTTTTTTTGTTTCTTTTTTTTAAATTGCTTTAACAGAAAGTTAGGTGGTGTTTTAAGCCACGTGAAATTGCAAGGTAAACCAAGATTTTCTGTCCATCAGTGCAAAATGTGCCTCTCAATTATAATACAAAGTCAATATCTGTTTGCAATGGAAGAAAATTATCTGAAGACTGATTAAATGTGTTTCTTGCTCTTATATGTAATCACCCACACAACAGTCCTTGCTGGTCTTTCCCAAGCACTATTCAACACTATCCTTATTTAAAAACAAAACAGGGACTGCATTGAGTAGTGAAACCTAATGAATTTCCTTGGTTTGAGAGAGACCCTGGAGATAAGAGTCCAGGTTCCATGTGTTTTAAATGTAACTTTAAACCAGTGCAGCTATTCTCTCAGACCAGTGCAGCTTTCTACCTTTCCTTCCATTTACATGGGAATTTAAAAATAAACCAAGCAATACATGAGCCAGTTGATGTCCTTTCAGGTGGAACATGTTTTTTTTTTAAATTTGAAGATTGAGATTTCTCTTGTGGAAGAACATTATGGGTGCAAAAGTGTGGAGCTCAGATTACAGCTCTTCCACCAGCTTGTTAATGCAATTAAGTATTCTGGACTCTTCTGAAGAAGACTGTGTAAAAGCTGTGAAGGCATAGACTGAAACTGATAATTTTAAATTTTAGGTCATGTGTGTGTTGCTTGACTACATGGACAATGTAACAGTGATTTTTAGAGATTGGTTTCCATGTGTCAGTCACAAACAATTTGCTGTTTGGAGGAAAACTTTTAGTAGATACATTTCCAGATCAAATTATGAGCCTATTTTCCCTCTTGCATTAACCGGGTTACTGTGTTCACATGTCAGAAAGATGTTGCTCTTTGAAGAAGCATGTTAGTGTATGTGGCAATGCCCCATGCACTTTTTAAATACCTAGACCTGTACATTCTCATCTGAGTATCGTTAACCATGCTGTAGTCTGACAAATGAATCTTTTACTACTGCCCTGTTACATAGATAATTGTAATTAACTGCAGTTTGTTTTTTTCCACTACTTGAAGTTGTGTGATCTGAAAAGTGGTGAACAAAAAGTATTTGTGCATCTTACTATGGGAATCTCTAAATAAAATGTATTTGTATAGTGTATTGGCTTGCCTGATATTTTCCCTTATTTGCTAATATCCCATTGCAAGTAAATCCAGGGCAGTTTGAAAGCAAGTGGGCTTGGGTTTCTTACTGCAACAGTCCAGCCTCTGTGTGGACATCACTGATTCAATGAAAACAAAGTGAACTGTTCTTTTTCATCCACCAGTGAGTGTATTGATAACCCAAGAGCAGAATCTCAGCTTGTTTTTGGTTTTTCATGGCCTAAACATTAGTCCTGGTTCTCTTTACAGCTGTAGCAATACTCATTACTTCCATAGGAAATTTATCTATTGGCAGAGTTGGGACTATTACACTTCAAAGCATCTCCTTCCTGTTCTCATCATCTGATACCTCATTTGCTCTGAGCCAAGAGTTTCCTATCAACCACTTAATTTTTCTAAGAAGGACCTACCTCTTAGAAGTGTTGAACAGCACAGATAAATGTAGCGGGACAGTCAGGTGTAGTGCTACAGGTTTTAGGGAGATCTTGCATCCCAAAACTGCATCTTCATATTTTCATTGCACAGGAGAGTGAAACCTTCACACAGCTGTTCTATTTCACTGTCTACAAGTGGGAAAGTTATTTTTTCAGAAGAGGAATGTCTGAGATGTCAAAGTTTTATTCTGGAGGTTAAAATTCTGTGCCTAAAATCAGCTTCTGCCTCACTGTCTTCACCCTTGGCCTCATCCTGAGAGGCTAGTTTCCATGATCACTGAGAAGCTCAAGCTTTGTTTTTAAGCTAGGAGAGAGACCACATCTCCAGCTGCATCATCTCTGCTCCTCATACTAGGCATTACTGATACTTGTGAATGTCGGAAGGGCAGACTTTAAAAAGACACAGGAACGCTAACACTGTCCTTCCACTGAGCCTTCTAATCAAACTGTTTGAGAGATGCAAAGGAAAACCAAAGCCCCTGGCCCTGGAGACATACAGAAAATAATGTTTTAGAGAGGGCTCTGGCAACTGCGGTTACTAACTCCCCACCAGCTTCAGATGCTCCATTGAGTACAGCATTCAGATGGTGTGAGACCAGTTAGCTGACTTACAGGACCAAAAATGAGCTCACAAATTCCAAAGCTGTTGGTATTAATTGAGCTTCTCTTACATGCATGTCCAGCTTAACTCTCAGCAATAAAAAGTTTAAATTGACCCCAAGCAACTAATTTTAGCATTAATCTATTTTGTCCCATCACCTGTCTTGCAGGTCCCCTTGCTTTTCCATTCACAGTGCAGATGAATCAGTTTCCTTATGTAAGGCAGCTCACCATTTTTGGAGGAAGAGATTTTTATCTGTTTCATGGCCAGTCTTCACTCCTTCTGCCAAGAGGTCTAGGTTCCCTCGGTGCTTTCTCACTGGTCATACTTGGCAGGTGGATGTATGGCCATTGTCATTCCTGTCTGTGGAACCAAAATGAGACTCACTGCACTCCTTGGCCTGGAGCCTGCAGCTGGTCTATGGTGTTATCAACTATGCCTTCACTCTACGCTACAAACATGTGGCAGTCGACATTGTCCCTTTCAACACTCAATCTGCTGCCTGCCTCCAGCTCCAGCCCAGCTGCTGCAGGTTTCCTTGGCTGTCATCACTTCCCTTCTTGGGTGTATTTTGTTTCTGAGCTCTGACTTGGGGCCTCTTGCCAGCTGGTTGGCACTGCTGTTGCTCAAGGAGGAAGCCAAACCAGAACAGGACTCAGAATAGTTTCACATTGTTCTGTTAGTTCTTCCTAGCCATTGCTGTACTCATCTTGTCTGTTTCTGAATGAAAGATTAGGATAGTCTTTCAAATACAAGTGCTTTCAAGGTCCAGTAAATGAATTAATAAATGAGATGCCAGGACATAGTGCTTGAAATGTTTCTTGGGCAAGAGGTGGCCCATTTTTGAGACATTGAAAGTGAGAAAGTTCATAGTGTATTAGAAAAAAAAAAAGAATCTCTGTGCTTTGTCTCCTAGCTTCCTCAGTCCCTGGAAGAACAAATGTCAGGAGGCTTCAGCCCCCTAAAAGGCTCAAGGGACCACATGGCCAACATGGCTTTTGGGAGGTATGGGTCAGCTGCTCCAAAATACTGCCCTGCACAGAGGGTCTTACTCTTTCCTCTTCACTCAGCTGTACCGTGAGCGGGCAGAGGTGAGAGAGAGGCTACAGACCTCAAGTGCAGAGCTGAGATCAAAAGGTCAGCTAGACATTGCTTGAACTATTTGTGCCAAACACATAAACAGAGTGAGGGTCATGTTCCACAGATGCTGAAGTGTCAGCAGAAAGATTTGTAACCCCTGTAATCAGTGCCTGTGGGTTTTCTTCCCCTGTGTTGTCAAAAGTTTTCCTGTCGCGGGGGTTTCCTCTCTCTACAAACCCACTGCAGTGCCTGATGCATGTTGAATGTGAGCACAGAGACTCACTTACAACAGAAATTTCACAGATTCCAGACAACTGGAAAAAATGTGACTAAAGGTTGTCTTTGGGGAGACAGACTGACACTGTTGCTGTAAAACCCCACCCCAATAACTGCAGTGCTCTCGGCAAGTATTTACTTAGGGAGAAATTCTGGCTACTTTCTCCACATATCTGAGCCTCAAGAAAGGTCTCGAAGCCAAAAGCATGAGGAAGGGTTGGTCAGTGCTAAGATAATAAGATTCACTTCCTCATGTGCTATGGTGGCAGCCTGTGTACTGCTGCTGGACACTACACTGCAGCCAGCCAGTGAGAATGCCAGCACAGCACTATTAAGCTATAACAATTAATGAACTTGCCACCTGGTAAAACCACTTCATGTAGATTTTTTTCCTTCCTGGAAATAAATTCTAGGAGTCTTGGGATGTGGAGACTTGCCATGTGTATTTATAGGAGCATTTTTTCCTGTTAATTGCAGAAAGTCAACTTTAGCTTTTTACCAGTATAAATAGGCTTTGACTCCAAAAAAACCCCACTGTTCCTGTTACCTTTTAGGTTGTTGCTGTTGCACTTGGAGTTTATTTGGTTTTGCGGAAAGCTTTTAGTCCTGTGCTCTGGGCTACTCAACTTGTTGCTTAAAGAGAAGGGATACATCTGGAGCTTGAATGTGTATTGGTCCCAGGACCTAGGTCACAACACCAGTGACTAGACTCAAGCTGAATTTTGTGCCAGTGATCACAACCCAGCAGCTCTGCAGTTCTCAGTGTGACTTCCCTGTCCATAAACCCAGTCTGTAGTCCATCAGTTTGTCTATGAGATTCTTTTGGCAAACACCACTGAAAGCTTTGCTCAAACTGAGCAACATCCCTCTCCTCTTCCCTCATTTATCAAGGCAGTCATTTCATCACAGAGGGTGACCAGCTCAGCCCGACATGACTTCCCCAGGGTAAATCCATACTGAATACTAGTGCCAGTCACCTTCTTTTCCTCAGTGTTTGAGGCTTTGCAGGCCAGGTGGAGGCTCACCAGCCTGTAGTTCCCTGGGGTCTCCCAAGCTCACTGCTTTGTTCTTGCCATTGCCAGTTGCTGCATCTACAAACAGCCCTTTTAAAACTGAAAACAGATGTCTGACATTTAACCAGAGTTGGCAAATATCCTTGGACACACTATTCAAAACATTCTCCTAAAATCACAGGATAAAAATGCTTGTAATTTATCCTAAGATGAAGTTTGGGGACAAAAAAGCAAATGGTGCAAATCCAGCTTCCACTTCACAATACTATTAGTTTGTTACTATTCATTACAGGAACATTTATATTACCTGGACTAATGGAGGGTTGGGATTCCACTAGGCTTGTTAAAATCCAACTGATAAAGACAGATGGTCTGTAAGTGCTGCAAGAGGCAGCGTGCAACACTGTACAAGGAGGTTTAAAAGACCTTCAGTGATCATCTGCTGCAACTCTGCCCCACCAAGTTATTTAAGAGCTGGCCAAGGAAACTTCTGGCTTCTTGGAGATAATTTAATCTTGGGGAATTTTAAGAGGCAGGAAGCATAACATTGTTAGAGCAGTGACCAGGCATCTGCAGACTACTTTCTCTGATGTCACAGACAAAATAATGGAAAACTGATAGTGGACTAAGATAATTCAAGGCTAGATACACAGCTAAAATCAAACAACAGTGTTGTATGGAAAACAAGTCAGTTAACAATAGTCTGTTTAATTCTTAGAAACAGTTGCCTGGTAGAGGTAACAGTAGGTAGGCACATTAGAGAATGAAATCAGGGAACATGACAGAACAAACTCAGCACTCACCATTAGAAGAGCATTCACTAGACAGGTTAACCCCCACTAGCATCCTTCTTAGATAGGTGTTTAAGCAAGGCTCTGCAGGATCAGTATCAGGCTCAGACAAGTGGAACTGTCTTGACAATCTGGAAATAAATACAGATTGATAATTCAGATGATTCAGATAAAATACTTTCTGGAAAAGGTTGAAAGAATGGGAAATAGCAGTAGGGTTAATGTGGTTGTGCAGAACAATTTCAGATTCTGGTCACACAAAAATGTGTCACCTTTTTCATACAGTCAAACTACACAGTAAGAAAACTTGGACCAAGGTCTGCAGGGACCACCTGGAGAAAAGGGTCATCTCCAGGGACACACTGACTCTAAAGAATGATCAAGCAGCCCAACGCAAATTCCAAGGATGATGCTGAGACATGATGGACTAACGCAGCCCATGGGTGTTAGGAATTGAATGGCCTGGGCTTTTATGAAGGCTGGACGCAATGACATCATTATCCTTCCTGCCTTCACCATCGTGAATGGTATCTCTAGGAGAAGGGCTTGCTTCCATAACGTAAATGGCAACTCTTTCAAGTACAATTGTTGTGCAAGCTCTGCTTATGTAGGCATATCAACACAATCTAACACACTAGATCCCATTTCCTGGCAGCATCCCCACAAGCTTCACCCCACATCTAAATGCAGCAGCAACCCCAGGTATGCCCAAAGATAACATCTCTTGTTATCAAATCTTTGTAACAGTTCTCTTGAGTGAACTCCACTTTGCCACCAAAATTTTCAATTGTTCCACTATACCTAGGGAGAATTCCATATTGTGGCATCCCACCCTTCAGGAGAACAGAGCTCCTAAGATTCACAGATGCTCGTGGACAAAACAGCATAAGTCAGAGGGTCCACAAATCTTGCAAAGTTCTATTAGTAGATTACATGCTCTGCATGGAAACTATTGTATTAGTCTCTGATGTCCTATAAGCACATGGCAGTGGGGTTAAACTGAAGGAAGAGAGAAAGAGAGAGAGGTGTATTAAAGAGGAGGAGAAGGGAAGGGACAAAGGGGGAGAGACAGATCAGCAGTCCTTGGTCCATCGCTGATGCAGATGATGGGGTGTGCAGGGTCCAGGGGTGCACACACAGGATCCTGGGCTTTGTGAGGTACCTTTTTCTAGATGAGTTTCCCTGCACTGGAGGTAAGTTTCTCCCTTTCTGTGTAGTTTAGTTACTGTGGCAATGGGTTGGAGGCTTCAGGGTATTTGGTGGTCTCCATATCCTCCTACATGCCTGCTTCTTGACCTCATTCCTACACTTGTGCTGTGTTGTGCTAATCTCCAGGAGCCAGGTAAGGATGTTTGTCCCAGAAAAGTGCTGCTCTACCTCCATGTGGCCCCTTCTCCAGCCACATTCTGTTAATTTTCCCAGTGTGTTATTGGATCCCTGGCTGCTAGTACCAACAATCCTTGTTTGGCTCCACAGGCAGCTGGCTATCAGTGTTTAAGATTAGCCCTGTTATCTTCTGGGCTTCTACACAGATTCCCTGCAAACTCAACTCAAAGCTCAAAGTCAAGAGTGGCTTCTTTATACTGAGTCGCTCCCTTGCAGAGCTTGTGTACCTGGATTTTGTTGACTTTCTGAGGCTAGTGCAATATATTTCAGAAAAAGGTAGTGCTGTTGAAGAGGTGTCATCAGGGTCAGGGCTGTGAGACCAGTTTGCAGCAAAGAGTAATATTTTATTACACCAAGTGATGTTAAAAAAAAAGGAAAAAAAAAAAAACAAACCCTAGGGCACAAAGAAAATAAAAACTTCAGAATAAATAGCAAAAAAACTGCTCTGAACTTCAGCTGTCAGACCAATTGTCCAATGAGCCTGAGGGGCAAGGGTTGCTAGTGTGGAAAGTGGAAGAGAGCATTAGCAACAGGGAAGATGCCTGAGCTTGTCAAGAAGAGATGGTTTTACTGCAACACAAAAGTAGAACAGACTCCTGAACTAGGAACAGGGCGATATTCTGAACACAACAGTTTTCTCCATTCACAAATGCAATAGGGAAGGAGAATGCCAAAGCACCAGAACAGTGGTGTCCAGCCTGTGGTATGTGAACTGCAAATCTGCAGAAAGTGACTGAGAAAAACAATCCTGCAGTAGGCTGAAATAGCCTATCTAGATTTGCACCTGCACCAGACTGTTATTTACTGGCTGGAAAACTGAAGAGGTTGCAAACCCTTGTAACAGCAGATAAGAATCCTGACACAGGCAGCAGGCAGAACTTGCCTGCTATGCCTGGTCAAACCTCCAGTGTTTAGCGCAGGGTCTTTTCTCCAATCACAGGATCATTGAGATCGGAAAAGACACCTGAAAGTGAGTCCTGTGACTGATCAGCAACTTGGCAATTAGAACAGAGCACTAAGTATCACGTCCAGTCATTTCTTGAACACTACCACCTCCCTGGGCAGTCCATCCAAATGCTTCACTACCTTTCAATGAAGAAATTCCTCCTGATGAATGTTTGGAGTGAAGGTCTTTGTTCCCAAGCCTTCACCAGTTTATTCCTTTAGCTCTCCTCTGGAAGCTTTGTCAGTGCAGTATCCCATTTTCTCATTTATATTTACTCCATGTACAGCAGAAAGTGTCTGCATCACTTTGGTTCTGGTATCCCTGCTCAGTTTTCTCCCATTCCAAATGCTCTTGGGCTGGATTCTGTGTGATTTTCAGAGACATATTCCAGCTGGCACTACACCATCTGACAACAGCATCCCAAGAGCTCTTAGCCTTTGTTGTTTTCTGCTGCACACCAAATTTCCATCTTGATTATCAAAGGATTGCCAAGCTATGATGGAAGAATGCTAATAATAGTGATTAAATCCACACAGATTATGGAGCTGCAGACATGTTTGTCACAAAGCTTGTGAAACTTTGTTTACAGCTGTAATTAATTGTCCCGCTGCTATAGTAATAAAACAGGATATCAACAGCTGCATAATGAAAATCAACAATACCTGTGTACTGTTTGGTCTGAATTTCAGTTTAGTTCAAAGGACCCTCTATCTTACTGAGAAAAAAACAAGAACAGGGAGACCTTGCAGCTCCTCAGCAGTAGGATCTGTTGCAGCTCCTGCCCATCTATGCAGTGTCAAGGATGCAGACTGGCTAAATCTATGTACTCTGCAGAGAAGGCAGAAGCATGAAGAACACAGATTAATTTTTAGATATTGTTTAAGGTAAAATCAGATTTCATGCCCTTTCTACTTACATGGAGAATATGGGCTTAAGGGCCAGAGGATGAGCAGTGAAGGATACCAGACCACAGCAAAGGTCAAGGTCCATGGGACATCATCACTGGTGGCACCAGGGGCTGAACAGTCTGCACACCACCTTCACCAGCCCTGCCTGCTCAGCACCAAGCGGAGACCCACTTCCACACAGGGTAAGTAAGCCTGGCTTTAATGTGCCAGGCCTTGCAATGGTGCCCAAAGGGTAAGGACCACTGCATTTTCAGCAACCAGAGGTGCTGTATGCAATGGAAAAAATACACAGCAGGAAAAAGCCTAAATGGAAGAAATATTTTTGTTTGTGGTTTTATTTTTTTTTTTTTCTCTCCTCTTGACTCACAACCCAAAACTCATCTCAGGAGTCAAGTTTTATTGGCTATCATTTCTTGCCATCTGTCCTGTCATTGTTGAGTTTAGACTGCCAGAAGTTGCACCAAGTTCTCTAACACAATTCTGCTGTGCCAACCCCTCCCTATTCTCCATTAATCCCCCCCATACTTTACTTGACTTTCTCCTCCTGTAGTGTGGCTATCTTTTGTCCTGGAGTTCTCCATGTCAACAGGGTGCCTCCCTGTGTCCATGCTCTCAAAAGAAGAAGACGTTTACATTAATGTAAATGCAGAACTGGTTCCAAAATGCTCTGTTCTTAAGCCACCCAGGTCCCTCACCGGGCCCTGTCACGGTATCCCTCAGAGGGGCTTCTCAGGGGGTTCCTCACACAGTGTCCCTCACAGGGACAGCGGAATCTTCGCCCGCGTTCTCATGGGGTCTCTCGAGGAATTCCTCAAGAACTCGTGGGTTAATTCCGGCGGCCCCTGCCGGGGGGCCCTCTAGGTGTCCTTTAGTGGGGTCCCTCAGGGGATCCCTGACACGGCCCCGGGGGGAGGGGGCTCCGCTGCCCCGCCCCTTCCTCCCGCCCCGCGCGCGCCGAGGGAGGGGCGGGGACCCGGTCACGTGAAGGCGAAAGGAAGAGGCGGGGCCTTCCCCCCGGCGCGCGCTGCTCACGTGGTCACCGAGAGGCAGAGGCGGAAGAAGGCGCCGGTGGATGGGCGCGCGCGGGCGGTGCGTGAGGGGCGCGGGGCGGGGCGGGGCTGCGCGCGAGCGCGTCGCGTCGCGTCACGTGGGGAGGGAAAACGACCCCTCGCGCGCGTGGAGGAGGAGGAAGGCGGAGGTCACGTGACGGTCGCGGGCGCCGCCGCCGCCGCTTTGTGAGCGCACCGGGCAGGTACCGCGCGCGCGGGGGGGCGCGCGGGGCCCCCCTCAGCCGCCCCCGCCCCGGCCAACGGTCCCCGCGCGCGGNGGCCGCTCCCCCCCTCAGCCGCCCCCGAGGCCCCGCGGGCCCGGCCCTGCTTTGTCCGCCCGGCGGTCCCTCGGTCCGCGGGTCGGTCGGTGTCCGCCCGGGCCGCCCAGCCCCGGCCCGCCCGCCGACGGGTTGCGGGGGGACGCGGCTTTGCCCTACTTTCCGTGGCGGCCGCCCCGGGGAAGCTTCGCCCTGGCCTAGATCGCCGTCCCCCCTCCGCCCCCCTCCTCTCCCGTTCAGCAGGGCCGCGGGTGCGGGCAGCGCCCACCTGGCTGGGGAGGGGGCGCCCGCTTGGCCCCGGGAGAGGTGGGTTCTGTCTGCACCCCCTGACATCCGCGGGAGGGGGTCCTCCACCGCGCCCGCCTTCGAGGAGGGGTTCTCCTCTAATCTTGGAGGTGCTGGTCTCCTGCAGCGAGGAGGGAGTTGGTGCCTCCGGCTCGGGGGCATGAGAGGAAAGCGGGACCAGCTGGAGGAGCGGGGCTGGCGGCAGGAGTCAGGCCAGAGGGGAGGTGGCAGCTCGAGAAATGAACAAGTGGATGATGAAGTATCGATCTATTACTTTTGCAGGGCTTTACTTCCATATTGTCGTTGCCCATCCCCTTCCCGGGTATTCCCTCGCTGGTGGTGGGGGGTCACACCTACAAACAATAACATATCAGCAGGTACAGTGGGTTACTTGAGGACATGGTAATGAATGAACCGTTCCCTCTATTAGCCTTCTCCAATTTAGTCCTTCCTTGCCATCGGCTGTGTGTGGTTGCATGGAATTGGGTGTCACGGCAGGGCTGACTTTAAAAACAACAAAACCCTCTTCTGCGATTTCTCCTGTTGTTGAAGAAAATTGCAGCAGGGAAGTGAACTGGTAGGCATTCCTGTGCAAGAAGCTGGATGTAGAAAAGACCTGGTGCATGTTTGAGTCTAAAGACAAGGGTCTGAACTCTCTGATGTGGAATAGGTTTAAAAGCTTGTGTTGGAATGTCTGCAGTGCTGTTGGGTGCCACCTGGGAGCAGGGTGAACTGGTTTGAAGCTTCTCTCTCTTGTCAGTGTGTTAGCACCAGAAGTGTGGCTGTGCACCCCTGGTTGTGTTCAGAGGAGCAGGATGTCTTGTGGAGCAGAAACTCAGGGTTTGCTACGGAGCTCTGTGAAGAAAAGCTGTGGAAGGGGAGTGAAGGGGCTGTCCTGGCCTGAGAGCAGCTGGTTTTTTCCAAGTAGAGAAATTGGAGCTGGATGTGAGGGAAGGGAGGGGGAGCAGTGCTTACCATTGAAACAGAGCCCTTCACAAAAAATGGCAGCAACTCAGCCTCCTGGCTTTTGCTTTTTTAATATTTACCAGGCCCGTTTAGCAATTCCCTTGGTTGTATCACGTTCTCTAATGGAATCTGCGTTTGGATTCCTACCTGGCTGACTCAGTATTTATACCTGGACCCAATCTCTCTGCAGTGGTTTGACCTAACTTGTTTAAAGAATTTATTTTTAACCTTACACTAGGTAACTTGAAAGCAAGCAAGGCTAAATCACTTTGCAGGATTAATGATGTTTTGTGACTCCTGAAAATGAGCTGGCTTCTGTTTTTATGACCTCAATAATCTTGGTAATCTTGGAGTTGGGCATGAGTGGGAATTGGACAAGCTCTGTTCTACTTTATTCTATTTGTACTTTTATCAGTGTGTTGATTTTGAAAACTGTCTATACTAAAAAAATCATGATATTGCTGAAATTTAGACCGTTTAAATTGTTTTGGCCCATCCTCCATAAAGCTCCTGGTGCCATGACGTACAGAAGGGTTTGATCGTTTGAGGGGACATGGAAGCCACAGCCTCACCACTAAGATCTCAGGAAGCTAGAGGGAAACCAATAAAATAGTCTGTCTGTTACCAGAAGCTGTTATTTTTAAACTTTTTGTTTGTTTGTTTGGTTCTTCCATTTTTTTGAAGCTGCTGTTCTAGAACCTACAAGTAGATTGTTGATGCTCTATATTTCTTCCATGAACTTTTATTTTAGGTGATTATTTCCTTGTAAAATGCCATTTTTTGGTATGCTTTATGTTTGTTGCTGGTGTTGTCCTATTGATATTGGTCATAGCAGAGTAACATGCTGGTGAGCAGTGCTTAAAAGGTGTATGTGTCATATACTATTAATGCTCTATTAATAATCATCACTGAGAGTCTTACTATTAGTAGTAATGCTTACATGCAGTTTCAGTCACATGTAGTACCGGTACTTAGAATAGGTACTTCATGAAAGACTAGGAGTAAAATTTCAGACCCGTTACGAATCTTTTTATTTATCTTTGTTTCTTATTTGGTTGAAGCACAGGGGCAGGACTCTGAACACCTGAGTTCAGTGCTTTGCAACAGCCTTGTGTGAGCTTGCTGAAGGAGAAGCCAAGTGACTTGTCCCCTTGGTAAAACACAGATTAAAGAAACCGTGTTGTATTTGTAGACTTCAGATTTACTGAATGGAAGGTGCTGGAGGAAATAAAATTGATATGCACTGCACTGTTATTCTGCTAGAGCTTTTGGTGAACTTTAAGTTTATTTCTCATACAGTCTGTTTACTTGTAGCCCATTGGGCTTCTCTGTGCTTTTCAGAGAAGACCTAGTTTGGACTTGCACTGTTTTTCATATAACTTCCCTAAACAGGTTGCATTCATTAAAGTGAGAGCTGGGATGAAAGGTTGTGAAATGCCTCCTTTGCAATTACTTCAGGTTCATATTTTACAAAAACTGTACAAAGGGTTTGTCTGTTTTGCTCTAACATGAAAGTCCACACTCTTTGATTTTGGCCATCTGCACTGGGAGTCTGTTGGAACTCCCCATCTGCCTGGGGCTCCTGCAGGGCTGTTCCTTCCACAGGTGTGGTACCCTCAGCCTTTCTCTCCCCATTACTTCTCAGTGCTTCAAGGAGTAAACAGGGACTAAAGACAGGCAGTTTAAAGGTGGCATGGTCTGATGCCTGAGATCTCATGGCTTGCTCAGCCTGCTTTTACTACATCATAAATATTTTGCTGAGAATATTGTTTTACTTATGTTCTCTTTAGATAGTAAAACCTGTAAAATAGGTTATGTGAACAACTTAGTGCAGCTCCCTTGGATGGAGTTGTTTCTATTTTCAAAGCTATTGAAATTCTATTTCTTTTTGTCCAGCTTTCTTTGTGGAACCTCTACAATATTGTGGCTTCTTTTGAAGGTAAAAATTGTCAAGCTTTTTTTTTCCACTCTCTTCCCAGGCTTCTTAAATCAGTCTTCCAACAGGTGAGCTTGGAGGACTCCTTAACCCTGCTGAGTGTAGCATTTTACATTAAAAACAATGGAATGTTTCCCATGCTGAGAGAACTTTGATCTTTCTTGAGACTTAAGGTTTGCCTGAAGTAATATTCCTATGGTGAACTCTCTGGTTTTGTTTTTCTGCTATATCATACAGGGAATACAATTTACTGCTATAGAAGATGCATGTTCAATGAAACTGGTGTTGCAGAATCATTCTGTATGAGAATCTACAATTAAATGAAGAAAACACAAATACTTTGTTAACCTCCAGATTTGAATCATCAGGTTGTACTTGTTAAAACTGTTTCAGTGTGGGGAGAAAAATGCTTACCTCAGTCTTTTATGCCATCCTGTGGTTGAAGGTGTAGGATTTGAATTCACTAGTTATGACCATGCTCCTAAACATTTTTAATGGTTAGCTGTAGAGAGAGGAAGTCTTTATGCAGTTTTGTTGCATCTGGCATTGGTTTAATCTAGAACATTTCATTTGTGTTTCATACTACTAAAATAGTGTTTCTGGAAGTAGGATGATACTTTAGAGACTGTATTTAGATTGCTTTTGAGGAAAGAAAACACATTCTACTCCATTTGTTTTGTTTAGTGGTTTGAGGGTGGTGGCTGTGTAGTGATATGGAATGAAGCATATGGCTTCAGAAACATTTTTGCTTCCTGTTCCAGTTTGCTTTTAAATGTTAACTGAATCATGGCTATTTTGTCCTTAGTGCTTGGCTTTGTACTGTTTCATTATCTATGTTTTTCTGATTTGAAAGCTATTGCTGATTTATTTTTTTCTCTGCTCTTCTTTGATTTTCAAAATCTTAAGTTGTCTTACACACAGTTTCAGCAACAGAATTCTGAAAGGAATCCTGGTGCCAAACCTTGCACTGCTGTTGAGCATAGTGTATTCAAGAAACTCTGGTATATTGTATATTGTATTCAAGAAACTCTGGTCCATGCATTTGGTGGGTTGTGCCCCAAGGGATGGATGTGTGCTTTTATTTCAGCTTTCAGTCACACGTTCTGGAGATCACTGACTTGTGATCCATTTTTGAGACTGACATAAGGGAGACCTAAGTTAGTGATGTTAATTTCGGGTGACTAAGTGTGATGAGGGGGAGCAATACTGCACTTCCTGGTCTTGTGCTTCACTTTCTTTTATTAGCTACTGAATGAATTTCTGAAAGTTTTGAACATGGATTAAGTGCCAAGGGCTAGCTGTCTGAAATTTGTTTTAGAGAAAGATTGGAATAGACTTACGAGGTTGGTGAAGTTAAGTTAATGAGTACATAAATGTGTTTGTTTTATCCTTAGTGTTTGAGAAAACACTTTCTGATACATAACTTCAACCTGTTGGGTTTCTTTGCTGTTTCTTGATGTCCAGATTAGCAGCAATGCCCAGGAACTCTTCTTTGCATCTTAGAAAAAGATGGTTATTACCTTTTTTGAATAGTTCTCTGTTATGACTGCAAGTATAAAGCTAATTTCAACTCCA